ACTACTTTTCGGTAGATTTTTAATGCTACCCATCCACTATTCAACTTGATACTTGAAAAGATTAAAAAACGCTGTGATCAACATACACTTCAATGTCATTTCAATTTTTTCAAAACTATAAATACTCGTAATTTTATACAGTATACAAAGTTACGCCCGCAAAAATTAAAATTTTTTAATATTTTCTTCATCCAAGTCCAACTAGTCCACTAATATGATTCAATGTGTTAAAAAGTTCCTATGTTTTCAACATGTGAAGCGACCAAGTTTAATAGCGGATGGGCAGCATAATATATTTAAAATACGTATTTAAAATTGTAAATATTCTTTGATTAAATTATAATCAAATTCACAAAATTAGAAAAATTTATAAAAATTTAAATGCACACTGTAACGAATTTTAAAATGCTTTCTCCATTAATATTTCTCAATTGATAATTCTAGTAGCTACACGTAACAAAATGTGAAAGTAGTTAAAATCTAAAATTTGTCTCGAATTAATCACATATTCGGTAATAAAATGCAAACAAGTTGACTTTGTGATAAAGAAGTATCGAAAATATTTTAGTAATAAATCAGAATTCGGGTAATATTTCCAAAATTTTACAGTATACTCTCCTCTATAAAAACGATTTTTTTTTAATTTCTTGTATAAACTTTTCCTCCATATCAAAGTGTTGTACCCATAAGCAGCATTATTTGTTCAGAACAAATACAGGATCAAAATAATGAAAAAAGCTTATATTTATAATAAGAAATGTGTAAATGTCAAAATTCTCAGAAAGAAAGTATACAAAGAAAGTATACAAAGAAACAGTACAAAAATTTGCACAAACTAAATTATTATGTACTTTAAATGCGTTGACATTACTTAATACAAAAGCTACTGTCACAATACTTCTGTAGTACGTTACGGTAGCGAGAACTGTACATTGTAGAAAAACCGTAATCATGCTTTAATGAAAACAATCAATACTAAAATATCATACGCCGTGTGATATGCAATTTTTAGTTCTGTAAAAATAATTTTTTCCCATTTTTTACTCTCTTTTTGATTTCATATTTTTTTAACATTCTTCATCTCAGTTTGAATTCTAAAAATTTTGATATTGTTTTAACTTTCTCAATAATAAAATTTAAGCTGATTTACAAATCTATTGGGATTATTAAGTTATCCTATGAAAGAAATTCAAACTAAGTACAAATAAAAAGAAAATAAAATTAACTAAAAAAAAAGACAAAAATATCTTGAGAATAATATTATGAAAAATTGTAAAAGTAATAAGAATATAGAATAAAATCTTAATTAAAAAAAACTTGGTTCAAAAAATTAATTTGCAGAAAAAGGTTCTAACGTTAAATAAATAGACACAGTTTTTTCGATCTATGGGATATGAAAAACCATTTAAATTAAAAAAAAAAAACAATTTTTAATTTATTAAAATCAAAGCTTTCATTATGTAATTGTGCATTATGTGTGTATCAATTTGTCTGATTGTACCTAATATTTTTAATCTTAAAATAGAAATTTAACACCTATAATTTTTTCTTAAAAAAATATTAGACATATTTCTAGCTGCATACAATATGGCAATTCATTTTCTTAACATTTAATAACAAAATGGACAGTATGATTAGTATAACGCTGGTGATAACGAGAAAATATATAAATTCCAAGAAATATTTTATACGTGATTGGGAAACAAAGTGAATTTTTTAACATAATTTCTTTTTATACTATTCACTTGTTTCTGGTTTTTTCCCTTTCACTAAATAACTAGGTCCAATTTTTAGTTAATATTGTGTGTATATTATAGAGCAATGCGAATATGCAAATATAACATTGTGAAGATGACATGGGCAATATTTACCCAATATGTACAGGTTTTTGACATACTCATATGTATGTCAAAAAAAAATTATTGTACAAGATGTTATATCCAAATTATATTTAACAGATATGATTTAATACTTTTAATTTTAGCTTTTATATAATAAAATGTTAAAAAATCGTGGTGATATGTGACAGAAATAATTTTGTTGTTAAGAGTTTTAAGAGTGCCGATTTCCTTTTAAAGCAATAAAACTTTTTTCTGTTTATATAGAATACAATATTGTTGATTTGTTTGTAATAATAAAAAAAAGCCATCATAATAATATGTAGATATTATTATTGCTTAGAGGCAAAACAGGAGTAAGGTCCAAAATACTCGTGATTCGTCCCCAGACGAGATCTGAAACCAAAATATAATAAACTCATTCCTACCAATGAATACCAACATTTAAACGACCGACTTCCAGACTATTAAACCTTTCCCAATTTGTGGAAACAGAAATGGAGAAAAAATTTTTGATAAAAGGCAAAATGAATCAAATAGTGGCATATAAAAGCAGAAAGAAATATGGCTAGATCGTCACCATAGCGAAAACTGATTTCCAGTAAGAAACCAGAAGAGAACACAAGCTAAAACCGCAGAAGTTCAAAAACGAAAGTGCCACAAGAACTGAATTGTAGAACAAGTGGGCGGATGCGAAACTATGAAAAAATCAGACCGAGTGTCTATAGTGAAATAACATAGATACAGTCAAATACACTAGCTAATGAATGAAATTTAAACCAACTACAATTATCGCGCCTTAACCTTACCTAATAATATGGTATTAAAATATACAAGCTTTTATTTACTCTTCCCCAGTCAAATACCTAGGCGATTCATTTAGAAAAATATCTTATAGTAAAATGTGCAAAGTATATTTTTTCTGAAATTTCTTCTATAATGTATATTTGTACATATTTACGTGTATTTACGTAGATACGTTTTAAGTTACTACAATAAAAATTACTTTAAATGTTGGTTTATTTACATTGTATTTTTTTTGTACCACATATCACTTGAGAAGCTTTTATCTAGGATGACAAACACTTCTCATTTATTTTTCGGTTTTTTTTTTTTTGTCTTCTTTGTTAACAAAAAATTAAAAACACACTCAAGTACATGACACACACATCAGCAAAAAGGAAAAAAACAACAACGTACATTCTAATAATACAAAATAAAAAAATGAAAGTAAATAAATGTTATTATCTAAAAACTCGCACCTAACTGCATTCACTTTTATTACTTGTACATGTAGATGTATATTTGGATACGCGCAGAACGAAAACATTTTCATTTAAACCAAACGACATAATATTCCCTTTGTGTGTTACACTCTCCGCATTGAATTTTTTTTTTATGAAGAAATAAAAAAAAATTATCCTACATTGTACATTTTTTACTTAGAAAAAAATTAAGATATCCTAAAGTGGACCTCGGCGAAATAACAATAATAAAATAAACAGTAATAAAAACAAAAACAATAGAAATAAATATGTAATAAAAAGCATTAAGCAAAAAGTATAAGGAGAACTTAAGTAAAATGTTAAATTAACATTTAAAATAAACGAATAGTTAACGTAATATACGTCAAAATGCCAATAGAATTATATGTGACAGATCTAACTACTACTATGATGAAAGTTCAGTTTCAGACCCTTGCGGAAAAGGGACTGTCCAAAATACTTAAGTACCAAATACGATAAGAAAAATCGACCACATAATTAGACCGAAATTTCTTCATACATAAATAATTTATATGACAGTGCTAGTATACATAAAAAATTTGTTAAACTTGATTTCGCAGTTGTGCTCATACTAATTGTTTATACAATTTAACATAAAAACAAAATATAATACATTTCATAAGAATAAAAATTTTATTTTTTTTTTCTTGCTTATTATTTAATTCATACTTTATAAAAATTTTACTTACATAACTAAAACAATATAAAAATATTTTATTGAACTTACAATATCTAACAATTGTATAAAACTTTCTTTACTAGCGTAATATGAATGCAAATAAGATTATCTTCAAGCTTTTTTTTTTTCAAAATCTATTTTTCATTTAATGTTCAAAAATAATTTTAAAACACTTTTTATACTTATAATTATAAACAAAATTCGAAATTGTGTTTTATAACTGAATAAAAATTAAAAATAAGTACAGGGTATTCGCGCTTAGCCCAAGTTCTGAAAGTTCGTTTCGAACGAGATATATGTATATGTATGTATGTTATTATTTTTCATCACATAATTTTTGAGAAATATTGTTATATTTAAGTTTATTGGTATTTTATTGTTTTTATTTTGCTGCTATTTCTTAATAGCGGATATTTTTTAAAATGTGGTAGTAATTTTTTAATATTAATATTTTTTTTTATAAATATTGAATATAATTTTTATAGTGACCTGACCGGGCTTTGAATCCGAGACCCTTCAGTTAACATACTTAGTTAAGTTATATTATATTTATTAACAAATTAATTTAAATGTCATGCATATGTATCTAAAATCAGTCCTTCAGTAAATAAGAAGAAATCGAAAATTTTTCTTGTATGTAATTGTAAATAGATTGTATTATAGTGTAAAAATTGAGCCTTATTCTAGATGCCGAAGTAGAGCGACAATTGTCGTTACGACTTGAATTTGATATTAGCGGCGATCGCAGTGACAATCGTCGGGGAATAGCGGGAAAATGTGTTTCAGCCTTATTACAGTTGTCGTTCTGATGCGAGATATGTCGTAGTGAAACGGCGTTTTTTGTCGACACCAAAAATGCAAGTTAAAACAAAACAATTTAACAACATCATAAAAAAATTAATTTTATACATAAATCACGTCATAAAATATATAATTTAATTTTTGTTTTTAGCGTTAAAGTATTTATAAATTTGAGGAATTGAAAATTTCATGACAGAGAACGCCTTTTACGGGTACTCGTTTTTCCCTCGAATATATTCAGTAAATATACAAAGGCCTCCTTTGGAAGTCTGTAATAGTTTATAAATCTATGAATAAAATAAAATGTTTGCAACTAATTTACTAGAAAAAATTTTGCAAATCCAATGGATTAGAGCTGTCGCTTAAATCTTTCGATCCATAATTGTTTTTTTCGTAAACCATAATGCAAATGGCATTTTTCATTATTTAAAAATATAAATATATACACTGAAAATTTTTTTTAGTTTGAACCTTACTCGCCGAAATTTCTTTTTCAAATATATCAATTTCACTTGAAACGTTTCATTTTCGATTATTTCTCGCACTCAATCGACATATGTATATCACATTTCAAATGATGTGACAGCGATAACGACAAATGTCACGTAAGCGACGCGACAACTAGAATAAGGCTCAATAATTTGTTCGGACTTTTGGAAAGTGTGAGGAAAAGCACCTTAATTGATCTCCCGATTTCTTTTCCAACGATCTCCCGGTAGTCGGAAAATTTTGGAATTACTTTGGCCACTGCCCTAGTAAGTATGAGGCCACCGCATTAAAAATTTTTCAAAAACTCCTTCAATCGGGTCAACTTCGGTATAATTCGTATATTTCTTCTCAATTTATTTTCTATTGAAATTATTTTTTAGTTCGAAAAAAACTATTGATGAAGTAGGTCCTCTTTGTTTGTTTATTTTTTTATTTTCGTATATAATAAGGGAATATGTAATTAAAAGCATTTAATTACACGTTTTTAGGTTCTTCTAACTGTAATCTTAAAAACCTTTTTTTTGCATACTTGCAGATCTTCAATAACAAAAAATTTTGCTGCTGCAGGTTTATTGGTTAAATTATATTGGTTATATTTATAGACATAAACAAACCATTAACAACAAATTATTATTTCTAAGCTGATTTTTTTCGAATTTTTAATATTTTTGTTGCATAAAAAAAAAATTTTTAATAATTTGACATGCCACAACTTTAGAGCTTTTGATATGCGACAATTTTCGAACATATTTTTTTACATACTATTTTTGCACATTTAATTAATTCAAAGTTAGCACTTAATCACTGCCCTGGTATAAGGCAACCGCATTAAAAAAATTTTCCGAGCTAATTCAATCGGGTCAAATTTTATATGATTCGTGTGTGTTTCCACACTTTATTTTCTATTGAAATTATTTTTTATTTTGAAAAAACCTATTGAAAAAGTAGTTGCAATACGTTTGCTTAATATTTATTTTATTTTCGTATATTTTAAGAGAAATGACCAATTAAAGGCATTTATTTGCTGCATTTTAGGTTCTTCTAACTAAAATCTTGAAAATATATTTTAGCGTAATTATAGCTTAAAATTATTTTTCTTTTGCACATTTATTTGTTTAATCATAGTAGTGATATGTACATACATGAATGCAACCAATAACAACAAACCATTATATCTATGCTATGATTTCAAACTTGGAGTCGTTTTGCAGCATATGAACAAAATTTTAGTAATGTTTTAGAAGTTTACATGTACTACGATTTTCGAACATACATTTTTTTATCAAACATTCTATTTCGGCATATTTCAAAATTTTAACTTGTAAAAGATATTTTTGTATTAATTCTAAGTTAACACTGATTATTTGAAATACCCAATAAGCATGTTTTCAGTTGTTTTGTAAAAGGAAAATATGCTCAGAAGTTGGTAAATTTACCCTATGAAAATTTTTCAACTTTAATTTTATATTTAATTTCCGTAATTTAATTCAGTACCCTTTTAAAAGGTAACGAGGTCCGTATCGCTTGATTTTCTATAACTTTTAGAAAACATATTTTTAATAAAATTTATTTTGAATGCAAACTGCCTTCTTTTGGGAATTTTTTTTTGTAAACAGCAAAATAAAACTCCAAAAATATAATAATCGCCGTTTAGAATATCAAATTCAAGTCGTAACGACAATTGCCGCTCTACTTCGACAACTAGAATAAGGCTCAATATTTATATAAAAATCTTTTTAAATATTTTTAGATATAAATGACTTAAAGCATAAAAGGATAGTGATAATTTTTTTTTCATCCAAACTCTACACATTTTTTTAAAAACTATAAAAAGAAAATGAGAGTTCGCCTCTGTACCTCTTAAACTTACCAGGACAGTCACTGAAATATTGAAAATACCCAATATTTTCTTGGATATAAACATGTTTTCAGTAAAGTTTTGTAATAAAAAGAAAATATGCTTAGAATTTATGAATTCAACTTACGAAATTTTTTTATTTTTTATTTTTTTTAAAACCATAAAAGAAAAATGAAACTTGGAGCAAGTCTACGCGATGCTTTTTATTATGCGATGCGATCCCAAGACAGTGCTTTGGCATTAATTATGATACTTGAAATAAATTTTTTTTAAATTGATATTTGAATAATTAAAAAAAATTATCCTTTTCTCAATTCAAATTTGAAATATTTTTTTTTTCAAAATTAAAAACTTTCTTATATTTTTTAATTTATGTTTTAAAAACATAAATACTATGCAAATTTGACGTTAAATTACTTAAAAAAATATTGTTATGCTTTACTCATATACCGAATAAGGATGTTTCATTTAGAAACTACGCATTTACACCCATGACAATTGATAAAGTCATCCATGTACATACACATATATATCTATCAGGCCACAAAAAAACAATTCCTAATGTCTTAAATTTTTTTCAAATTAAAATTTTTTCTGCGTAATTCAGTATCCCACCCTTCAATTTTGCAATTAATTTTTTGTAAATGCATTTTTCTAGCGAAACCGATTTTACAAACCGATTCTTTAAAACTTATCGTTAAGTATTCGAATAATGTGTAGTTTATATCAGCGTAGTTGAAAATATTATTCGGTTTCCTTTACACAAATAATTTCCAACAATACTTGCAACTTTCATACAAATTTTTGACTAACTGTCTGAACTTGGCGGCCTGACAGATACATATGCACAATACGGCAATAACTTATAAGTAGAAATATAAATAACTAAATTCTTTGAAAAATTTTCAATTAACAAATATAGAAATATGTATGTATGTATATAGAAATTTGTTTCTTGTCGTCGTAATTACAAATGACGTATGTACGTTACATACTTCGATTTAGTAGTTTCTTATTTTATAGTATGAACTTTTTTTGTTACTTTTTTTAAAAGTTTTTAGTTTTTTTGGTGCATTTTTTGAATTCATGATTTTTTTTTGATAAAATTAAAATAAAATGAAATGTGTGAATTTATAAAAACGAAATTTGAAAGAACGTTTTACAAGTTCAATTCAAAAAACTAATTCACTTAAAAAATAGATAAAGAAATGATTACTCATTTAATTGCATGTTGTAATTATAAGCCATCCTCTTCCTGTTTAATAATTTTTGAGAGTGTTTCTATTCAAATATTCCATAATCCTTAATAGCATTGACAATTTCTTCAGGTAATGTTATAAAAATTTCTCCCTCGACAACCTCGATTTCTGGGATGGTAAGTAAAGCATGCAATTTTATAATATCTTGTAATTTAGTTTTATCTAAATTACTAATTTTTTTTTGTTTTGCCATCGTTTGTAATCCTTAAAAAAATTAATTTAAATATAAAAATTGAGTACATAAAATTTTATGTTCTTACCTTTGATATAACACTGATTTGTAAAACATGGTAAATTTAATTGCTGCGGACATTTACGAATATTATTAATTGAAATATTATAAATGCTTCCAAAATCCAACAAAGTTAAAATAGGCTTCCCATCACCTGAAACTACTTCACATACACCTCTGTACCAAGTATTAGGTGTATCAGAACCCTTCACTAAACAAATTTCACCTTCTCTGTAAATGTAAATATTTGTAAGGTAAGATCATTAAAAAAAGAGACTAGTAAAATTTTTGAATTGATTGTTCACCTCGGTGTATAAAAATCAATATCTGACTGAGCATAAGCTGCAATCTGGGTGTTTATTTTATCCAATTCCTCAGCATCATTGTTAAGTATACAACTTATGAAACCCAATTCAATAAAAGAGTTGTCCAGGACAATTACTTTAGCACCGCAGCAAGGTTTGAATTTTCTTATTTCTACATCCTTTAAATAGAAAAACACAATTTACATCTTTGACGATTTCTTATAAGTTTTTTTGGTGGTTTCAAAAATATAAATTACATTTAAAAATATTGGAATGTCATGTATGCTTGGTTTAGTAGGATTTATTAAGATGTTAAGCTTTTTGTTTATATTTTGGTTTGTATCAATTGCTTTTAGCTCCACAGAAAACAAATCATTATTTTTTTTAAATACTTGCTCTATTTTTAGGGTTACATTGTCTTCAATTATACTATACAAAAATTTTTCGGCTCTCTTATTTAAAACAGCATTCTGCACTTGTTCTAAGTAAACACAATATGTTAATCTCTTTAAATTTTTTAAATCGGCGGGAAATTCCCTTAACTCAGGCATTGCCTTCAGCACTGTACAACCGATATCTGGGTAAGCTAATAAAATTTCTTTATCTCTATTTGAATTTAATACTACAGCACGAAACCACTCGAAGTTATATTGCGCTAGCACAATGTCTCCTGGAACAGGCAAATTTGAAATATTTTTTGCAACAGCTCCAAAAGAAGCAATAGTATTTATGATTCTAACATAATCTGCGTGATCGTTTTCCTCAATCGAGCGAATGAAAACACAATTCGATTTTTCAACGTGTGTTATCACAACACTAGCTCCGCAACGAATCTTGTTTTCAATTTCATTTTCAATTCTCAAGTTTTTGTAGGGGTCACAAGTCATTTTGGAACGTTGTAATCGAATTAACTGGCTGAAAATTAGAACTTAATAAGTATACTGATTGAGTTAAAAATAATTTTTACAGTTTTTCTGTGCATGTGAACTTATGAGTAGGCCAATCAGCGTTCTGGCATTCTTTGCTGCAATAAAACTCTTTGCATTGTTCACAAAAGCTCACAGCATATTTTTGACAAACAAAACACACACAAATTTCCAAATTCCTCGCCCCCTGGAAATTTTGATATTTTTCACCGAATAGATTGCTAAACTGATAACGCGAGTCACACCTTATGCTATATAATGTAATATGATTATGAATTTGATATAAATTCAACTTAATTTTAATATTACGAGTTTGTGCTACATTTTCCAATATTATAAACATGATCTGAAATGCGTCTGTTTTGAAAAAATGAAGACTCCTTACTCTGATTAGAGTACTCTAAATACTTCAATATTGTCAAGGAAGGGTAAATTAGATTGTTTATATCCGATTTAAGCAACTCTTCACTTATTCCTTTTGATGAATGACTACAAAAATCCAGACTTTTTTCTGATATGGAAGCTTCAACTTTTTTTTCTGTTTTTTGTGAAACCTGAATATTCCATTCATTGGTAGACATGCCTCTTAGAACTGCTTCTAACGATCTTAAAAAATAAAGGTTCAAAATGTGTAGGTTAGAATAAAAAATTATAAACAAATTTAAATTTAGCATTTCCAGAAGCAGCTGATAACGCCACTAACTAGAAGCCGCTTTAAAATATTCATGTAAATTTATATACGTACATGCATATATTACATAACTTACGTTTCGTCTTTACATTCTGCAAATCGTAATGGGTTAAAAACATCATTCATTTGTGTTACTCTTAGTATATCTCCATAATTAGAAAGAATATTTTTGAGAGCTTCATTATCCATACCTTTCGGGACATTTTTAAGACAAATCATTAAACTCTTATTTTTCTCTAATCCGGCCCCGGGCCCTTCAGCATATACATTGTCTTTGTTTTTAAAGCATATTTCCATAAAGTTTTCACGTTCAAAATCACTAAGCTGCATCATTTTGGATAAAAATATTTTGTAAAAATTTTTTTTATTTAGAGATAAAGTAAACAAACTAAATTTCAAATTAAAATTTCTTGCACTGTAAAAATAAAATTATAAAACATTTTGAATTTGAAACTTTGAAAATGCAAATACAAAAATTCAAAACAGACAATTAAATGACAGAATAGAAAATAGAATAATCTACTGTCAATGTAAGAACATTTTTTTTAGATACAAAAAAGTTGCTGCTTTAATTTAACTGCCAAATTGACACATGTTGTTATCGAGCTACCGCCTTCGAAGAAAATTCTGTATATAATATCATATTTAACAAAAAACTTACAACGTTTTGACGTTGACGATTTAACAAAAAACTTACAACACAGTTTTGGTATCTTCCATCATTTATATTCATTTCAAGAATAATTATTTCCATTAATGTTTTTACATAAATTTAAGATTAAAATATAACGTCATAAATTTGAATTATTATCTGTCGCAATATAATTTCTAAAAGAACTTTGAATAGAGTTCAGGTTTTGTTTACATGTTATTACCAGATAATTTTTATTACTTATTAGAATTATAATATTTTATTATCAAGGGTATTTTGTTTCTTCAAATTTAAATTACTTATTTTATATTAAATAAATGGAGTGGTATACTATATGGCATACTATACGACACTTATAAAATTTCTTAATTTAGTTTGCGGTAAGGCCACTAGGTGTTGATGGCCATCAAACACTTGAAAACAATATCGAATCGAACCAAAAATTCACAACCCTATAGTCCTCTTACAGAAACTGCAAGCTGCTATTTAACAGCTGTTTTTACAATATTTCAAAGCATAATTTAGAATGATGATTACAAAACAAATTGTTGTAATATAAATTTAGATTATCATCATTTGTTTAAGGTCTCGAAACTTAATTTATTTATTTTTTTTCTTTTAAAGTGTTAGTAGTTTCTTACAAAAGTAGTAATAAGAGTTTCATTCCATGTCAATAATTTTTAAACGGATAGTAATATTAAAGGTAAGGTACTTGTATTAGTCTTTAACAAATTTGTTTTATAGATTCAAAATAACTAGATTATTTTTTCATAAAATACATATGTAACTACATCTTTGACGGATTTCTTATAAAAGAAGTTTTCAATTAAATATTAAAAACAAGAGTTAATACAAAACTTGCATAACCAGTTAAAACTTAAATTTTACTATTTAAACAATTTCGTAAATTAAAAATAAATAGCAACATTATAAAACATTTATATTGATATACTAAAAAGTTTTAAAAATTTTATTTACGTGGAAAAAATTAAATTTAATTATTGCAGAATGGTATATTTACATTAAATTTGTGTGCATTAGTGTTTGCAGGCGAAATTAAGTGTAATAAATGAGAACTGACACGTGTTGTTCATATAAGAAACGTCTAAAATATCATTGACATTTGTGCAGTCATCACATCACAACTTTCCTTTAGTGCTTCTGCTTAGCTAATAGTTAAGGTTGAAAAATAATTTTTCACACTTTCATTCGTAAAGTTTACATGTCCGGAGTATTTTCTAAAATTGTAAAATTAAGTAAATACATCAAATTTAAAGCTGTTCTCTGTAATAATAGTGTGCATATCACGCTTAACAACGCATATAATTGCAGAACATATTCGAATTGGGGTTCCAAAAAAAGCAAACGTAATATAAAATTACAACTTTTTAAAATGACTAATCCAGAAGCTGAAATTGTTTTACAACCGTTGAGAATTTCAGTTCAAGATCAAGGTAATTTAGTTCGCAAATTAAAAGAATGTGGTGCACCAGAGATTGATGTAAAAAAGGCAGTATTGGAACTGAAAGCAAGAAAAAAAGTATTGGAAGATAAGGAATTAGAACTTGCACCTAAATCAGCCACTTTTGATCGTGCTAGACTTGAAGATTTACTAAAACGACGATTTTTCTACGATCAAAGTTTTGCTATTTATGGTGGAGTAACTGGCCAATATGATTTCGGTCCAATGGGATGTGCATTAAAATCGAATATTTTAAATTTATGGAGAAAATTTTTTGTTTTAGAAGAGCAAATGTTAGAAGTTGATTGCTCAATTTTAACTCCAGAACCAGTACTCAAAGCGTCTGGACATGTGGACCGTTTTGCGGATTTGATGGTTAAAGACCTAAAGAATGGTGAATGTTTCCGTCTTGACCATTTAATTAAAAATCATTTAGAAAAATTGATGTCGGGCAAAGATGTATTACAAGAAACGAAAAATGAATACGAAGATATTATTGTAAAACTAGATGGTATGACTCCAGAGGAAATAAATAACGTATTTAGAAAGTTTGATATTAAATCACCAATAACTGGAAATGATCTGTCTGATGCAATTGAATTTAATTTAATGTTTTCAACTCAAATTGGCCCGACTGGATTAGTAAAAGGTTTTTTAAGACCAGAAACAGCTCAGGGAATATTTGTTAACTTTAAGCGCTTGCTTGAATTTAATCAAGGAAAATTACCATTCGCAGCAGCACAAATTGGCAATGCATTTAGAAACGAAATCTCTCCAAGATCTGGTTTGATTAGGGTTCGAGAATTTACGATGGCTGAAATTGAGCATTTTTGCGATCCGAATAAAAAGGATCACCCGAAATTTGTAGATGTTCGTTCCAGAAAAATTTTATTGTATTCAGCTTGCAATCAAATGGATGGAAAAAGTGCTGAAATTGTTCCTATAGGAGAAGCCGTTGACAAAAAACTTGTCGCTAATGAAACATTAGGCTATTATATAGCACGTATTCATGAATTTTTATTGAAAATTGGAATAAAATCAGACCGTTTAAGATTTCGCCAACATATGAACAATGAAATGGCTCATTATGCATGTGACTGTTGGGATGCTGAATGCTTAACGAGCTACGGATGGATTGAATGTGTTGGGTGTGCCGATCGTTCAGCTTACGACCTAACGCAACATACCTCTGCTACAAATGTCAAGTTAACTGCTGAAAAAAAACTTCCAGAACCTAAAACCATAGACGAAATAAAAGTTGTACCAAACAAGGCTGCAATTGGAAAAGCATTTAAAAAAGACTCGAAATATATTGTAGATTTATTATCCAAGCTTTCACTTAATCAAGTAGATGAGATTAAAAGTGAATTACATTCGAAAAGTTCGTATAGTCTCGTAACAACAGAAGGTCCGTCATATACTTTAACCAATGAAATGATTTCTGTTGAAAACTCTAGACGTACTGTTCATGTAGAAGAAATAACTCCAAGTGTTATTGAACCATCTTTCGGTATTGGTCGTATAATGTATTCTTTATTAGAACAAAGTTTTGAAATGCGTGAAAATGATGAACAAAGATGTTATCTAACCTTACCAGCCATTATTGCACCTATTAAGTGCTCTATTTTGCCGTTAAGTAACAATCCGGAATTCAATCCATTTGTAAAAGAATTATCAACCATTCTTTCACGTTTGCAAATTTCATATAAAGTCGATGATTCTAGTGGATCAATTGGCAGAAGGTATGCACGTACCGATGAAATAGCAATTCCTTATGGAATTACTATAGATTTCGATACCATCAAATCTAATACAGTTACATTACGAGAACGTGATTCGATGAAACAAGTGCGCCTTGCGATTGAAGAGATTGGTGAAAATCTTAACAACCTATGCAACGGACAAGAAACTTGGAATAAAATAATGGAAAAATATCCCTTATTCGAACAACAAGAATCAAAATAAAAAATTTGAAAAAAAAAAATTAAGAAAATAGTTGAAGCACTCAATTTAAAATAACTGATTTGTGAAATTTATTTAAATACATGCATTAAAATTATTTAAATTAAAAAAGTACACATACCTGTTTTTTAATTTAGCTATTGAAAGTTTGCAAATGTTACTTTGACTGTTTTATAGTGAAAAAGCTTGTTCGCTAATATTGAGTCTAAACCTTTATTACGTTTGATCACATTTATTGTATCTATCGTTCTTCTTATAACTCACATAAAAATTTTCAGTTTATATGGGCATCAATTAAATTATGCATATGGTTATACAAAGAACAGTACATATTTTGGCATAAATTTCCCAAAGGTCAATAAAAAATCAAACGTACCTTACATTTAAACGAACACAAAGAAAATATCAACGTATAAACATATACGAATTAAGCTATATTATTTCATATATGTAATATTCTTGATTGAAATCAATTAAACCTTATTTATATTTTGTGCCAGTGTACAAAAACTTCTTCCATCATCCCAAAAAAAAACTTAGTTTTATTTTGCAGCGCAACTATAATTTAACTAAAATTCTAATCGATATCGGAAGAAAAAAGTCATAGTTATTTGATTGCGAAACTGATTGCAGTATGAAAATATTAAATGAAATCATTGATATTGGTTTTTTTTTTTATAAAGTATCTTAGTACGTACAAGGCATGAGTTTTAAATATTTTGGTTAACCAATATAAAATAAAGTTTTATCACCCACAAATTCTGTTTAAAACGTGGTGAATACTTCTTAAATATCTCGTTTCTTAATTCTGTGATTTGCTTTTTAATTAATGAGGAAAAAAAATGCAATATTATTGATCTTCATAAAAATTTAAAACAATAAATATAAAGATAAATAAAAGAAACCTTTCGAAGTTTTATTATTTCTTATAATATAATAATTTTTACAATTTATTGTTCGTTAGCATGCAAAATGCAAGAAAATATCTTGTGGAAAAAAGTGGTTCAGTTTTCTTACGTTTTAAATTCTGCATGAAATTACCATAACTTAATGGTTAAAATTTTATATAATATGTATTAGATAAATACCAGTAATAGATACTGCATCATTAATATTAATTCATAAAATGTTTGAGATTTTAATTAAAAATTCATAAATACTGTAACGAACGTTAATAAATATACTAACGTTAATAAAATTTATATAAAAATAATTTTCTTTTTTACTAATAGATGAGAATTCTACCATTAAATTAACGATAAGGTTTTCTATAATAAAATAATAGAAGATAATATTACAAATAAAAAATAGATATAAGTAAATGTTACTGTAACTATATATATAAACGGTGTTTCTCAATATCTGCGAATAACATTATTATTATTAAAACCATATTATTTATAAAAAAAAATATATACAATAAATGATGGATAATAAACACAACAATTACGACCAACATGATTCTGATATCTACTTAAATAGCTCAGTTCGACAAAACAGTTTATACGAATCAGACGTGGATTTTATTATAAGGTAATTCTTAAAAGTTTTTTTTAGTTATTTGATAAGCTAATGCAGTAATTTAGCATAAAAAATTCAAATTGAGACCATTGAAAATTTAACACGCTCACAATGATATATAACTCTATCACTTATGCAAAATATTTTATTTGATTTTTTCATTTAAGTTCTAGAATCTCTTTAGAAATTTAGTTTGTATCTGTCCTTTCAATAATGGTGCATTTATTGTCGGAAAATTTTCATTTATTTATAAGATTTATTAAACTTGCAATTGCAATACATATTTCAATTTCCGTTATTTCACCATAAAGAACGATGATATAAATTCAGAAAATTCCATCGAAATTATAAATATAGCAAAGCCGGAATGGTAGTAACTTGATATGCAGATGTCAATAAATATACTGTTGTTATATATAAAAGAACGAATAGCCAAATCCAAATTCCAATTTAATTCAAAATTACTGCCATAAATTGTCATAAGAATCGATAGATGGCATACGTTTTTAAACACAAACAAAAAAACATTCGAAAATACCCAAAATTTATCAATATTCAAGTATTTCATCTGTACAGGGTGATTCACTAATCAAAGGTTTAACTTAATACATCTCAACTCTTATAAATCTCAATGGTTACCGAGATACAGATATTTTAACGGATTTCCAGAAAATTTCTACTTGCCCGAATTTTTTTGCCTAACTGTTTTAAATTAAGTTTAATAAATTTTAATAAAATAATTATTTGCAATATTTTGTTGTATTATATTTTAATTATAATATTATATGGATTAAAATAAACCAATTAAGAAATATAATTCTAAATCTCATGTAAATATTTTTTTTTAATTATAATATTAGTTTCAAAAAAAAAAGAATATGAATAAATTCTTATCATTAAATGCATCATCATTTTATATACAATAATTTCAAACATAAATTGTATTTTTTTATTAATATTTTTAGTGCACATTCACATACTTTTATTATTATATTATGCTTACCTTTATTTTCTAAACGTCATAATGAATCTAACTTCTATCATTTTTATTAATATTTATTGATGTACATTGTACTTAGTAGGGCCATAATAGTTATCTTTCACTAATAAAATTTTGTAATTAAATTTTTATGAAATTTATTGGTTCCTGCAACAAAAGTGAATTAACTTAAAAAATGAACGATTTCGGGAATATTGAAAAAAAAATTGCTGTCAATTAAAGTACATGTACTCGTATATATGTATGTATATGTACATGAATATAAAATTTAAATCAATTTGCATAATAAAGGGGCTAATTAAATCCAACTTTAATATTATTCACTTACAGTATATTTGAAGTTTTTAATATAGGCTTGAAACCTGAAAATAGCATTTTTTGAGTTAATTCCCTTCAGCCGAGTTCGATATATGGCAGTGCTGTTAGCCACTAAATTATTAAGATTTAGAATTACATATGTACATATATATTATAAAACATTCTATTTTTTTTAATTTAATTTAAGTAGTTCATTAAGCAGCACAAAATTTGTCATTACTATAGATTTAAAGAAAAAATAAGTTTTGTATATCAAAGCACCTTTTATTGCAAATTATAAAATTAAAAAAAAAAATATTTTCCAAATGGATTTCTAAAAAATTTAAATGCACAAATGACTACAACTAATAAATTTCTCTCAAAATATTTATTTGATTTGAAGTCCTGTACAATTAAGCTAGAATTTAATATTTATTGCTTATATTTTCCTTTGTTGCTTTCAGAAATTTAAAAGGGTAAGGAATTGATTTATTAATTTAAGATTTTTTAACAATTTGAATTTTGATAAATCTTTTTTAAAAATTTGGGACGAAGAAAAAAATTTTATTTGTATTAAATATACTAACATATTTCAAAATTTACATTTAGTTTTCAATTTATAAAATTTCCCACATTAGTAGAAACGTATTCAAAATTGTCGGATTATCTTTAGTTACAATATTTTTGGTTTTTGAAATTTTGTGTTTTTGCTTATTTTTTGGAATTAAATATTTTTTAGTTATCACTGTTACGATTACATAGAATATTTATATTTTATTAGAAATTAATATAACCACAATGTACATAAATACATACATATATAATTTTTTCTCTTTTCATTTTCAATTAACAGCAATAGCAAAAACAACATTAGACAAAGTAATATAAATTTAGAGCTCACCGAGAATACGTCACTATTAAATCGAAATATGAGAGAAAAGTTTACAAAGCTAAAAAATGCATTTAGAAATCGTAATATAATTGTTGATATATTATCAATATTTTTTGGGATAGCAGCTTGGATTGGTATTAATTCAGTATTTGTACAATTACCATTATTAGTTGAAAATGCACCCGAAAGTTGGAGTTTACCATCATATGTTGTTGTTATTGTACAAATTGGTAATATTGGACCAATCATTTACACATTATTACATAAAATATATCCTCAAAAAATACGTGATGCTTACATGATATATATTGTATTAATAATTGGTACAATATCAGCATTACTTACATCATTTCTCTATAATAAAACAATGTATATCAATGATAAAGAATATAGTATAGCATTATTTATATTGGTATTCTTTTTGGCATTAAATGGTTGTACAAGTTCTGTTTTATTTATGCCATATATGGGAAGATTTCGTGCAATATATCTAATTACATATTTAATTGGAGAAGGAATGAGTGGCTTTTTACCAAGTATTGTGGCATTAATTCAAGGTGTTGGTGGTAACACAAAATGTATAGAAGTGAATACAACAAATGGTACAACAATATATGAAAAGTATACCCCACCGCCATTATTTGGTAAGTTAATATTTTTGTGATTTAATTTTCAACGCTCCTCAAAATCTTAATATTTTTTTTTATATTCATACCAAAATTTTATAATACAAAAACAACTTAGTACAGAGAATAATTTTAAAATTAATATCATTTGCATAAATTTTTTAAATATAAAAATAGCTATTTATTTAATTTAGGAACCTCGGATTTCTTCATTTTTGTATTTTCATTAATGTTATGTAGCAGTATTGGTTTTACACTGCTTGATAATTTAAACATTTGTAAAAGAGAATATGCTGCTGTTAAAATCAATCACGGAAATCACTATGAATATGAGAGCTCCGATGTTTTAGAAGGAAATGTTATTGAAGAAACTAAGGCTAACGATAATGTATCAATAAATTGCAAAAAAAACATAACACCAAAAGAATACAAATTACTCTTATTATTAATTGCTATTGTATGTATGTTTGGTAATGGTATAATACCAAGCGTTCAGTCATATTCTTGTCTACCCTACGGGAACATTATTTACCATTTAACAGTAGTTTTTACTTCTATTGCTAACCCATTAGCATGTTTTTTGGCAGTTTTCTTACAACATACATCAGTTAAATTAATATTAATTCTGTGTGGAATTGCAAGTGTCATTGCCAGTTATTGTTTATCAACGGCAATTTTAAGTCCAGAACCCCCTTTATTTGATACACTGGGTGGTGGAATTATTATTGTAAGTACAAAAATCTTATGCAATTTTTATACCAAATTCTAAATTTAATTTATTCGTAATTTTATTAAGGTAATTGCATGGGCTATACTCGTGGGACTCGTTAGTTATATCAAACTGTCAATAACTGCTGTAATGAGATTGCAAGCCGGAAAATCTTTAGTATTGACAGGTATACATTAAAAAAAGTTATACTAATTATGAAGTTTATCTTACATATGTATGTATCTATTTTTTTTAGGCGCAATATCTCAAGCTGGTTCTGCTGTTGGATCAATTTGTATATTCTTTTTAATCAACTACACACAAATATTTGTATCATATGAGCCCTGTTAATTTTTAAATTCAATAAGAAAACTGGAACTATTACAAATTAAAATAGTTAGTAAATTTTAAATTATTTTATTTTATAAAATAAAAATTTTGCAAATGAATGATAAATGGTGATTAAATGTAATTAATAATTATAAAATGATAGATAAAATGTTGATTTATCAAGTTTTAAGTTATTTTATCTGCAAAAACATTTGTAAAGTTTTTACTAAATGTACAAAAACTTTCATTAGCCAAATTATAGGACTCAATAGACCTTTTTTAATTATAATCATTGTAAAAGTAAACTTTAAGTGTGTTGAAGAATACACAAAATTCGAGAACAAAGTAAGCAGAAAAAGAGAATTCACATAAGATCAATTCCAAATAAAAAACGACAAATAAAATTAGAATAAAAACCTTAAAAGTTAAGTTATAAAATAATGAGAATTTAGATTTTTTTAAGTAAATATAAAAAAAACAACTTCTTTAAGGGATTGGAAAAATTTCGAAACAAAAAAAGAAAAAAGTTCTTTGAAATTACTTTATTAGGTGATGGAGTACGCAACCGAAAACATTCGCGGAAATAGGAACCATTAAAAAATCTAAAATTCTATTTTCTCAAAAATATTATAGCAAATTTATTGATTATTATTCGTTATGTAGTTTTAATTTAAAAAAAATAATGTAATTATTAAATTAATATAGATGAATTTTTACATAAAAATTTAAAATCATTATTGTTATTTACATAGTTTTCAAATTTTTACAATATACTCAAATTAGGTCAAGTGAAATTTTAATATTTAAGTTTTTTTTATAAATAAATTAAGTATTTTTTTTTAATTTTTGTTAAAAAGAGTTGTATAAAATACGATTTTCATTAACAGAAATTGGTTTAAATAGTTTATACAACAAGATTTAGTTATGTTTTAATTGAAAATAAAATATTAAATAATAAATATTTTATTTTGAATTAAGTAAGATTATATATTACATTTTTTTTTCTTCGATTCTCAATAAAGAAATAAAAAAAAGTTGACACGTTAATAGAAACAATATATTATTTTATTTTATTTATTTTAATGAAATTATTTATCAATGAAACTAAGATCTTCATAAGGATCAAAAATAAGTATGTATGTACCTACTAAGTGTATATTTAAGTAAAGTTTGTACGTTCATATGTAATATATTTGTATGTATTTTTTGGAATAAAATTTGAAAATAATTCTAGTGTAACCTACATAAAATATCAATTTCAAGTTTTGATTTCAAATATAATTGTAATAAATGACTTCTACCAACCTTAACACATTTAGTTTTTATCAATAAAAAGAAATTAAGAAATAGATAGATTGAATAATTTAAATTTACATATTTAATAAGAAAATTTATTTATGGTATTTAATTTAAATTTGGAATTTGAAAGTTAAAATTTTAAGGTTTCTTTATAACAATTTTTATATTATTTTATATTTTTTTTTATATTATAATACTAATCGCGTCTATTTATTTGCACCATGTTTTAAAACATATTTTCTTAAAAATATTTCAGTGTTTTTATTTAAAGTTTAACTTATTTAAATTAAAAAATTTGCGATTTATTACAAAGTTTAAAAACTAAAATGTGATTTAAGTTATAATTGAAAAATTGTTTTTCTATGCTCTTAAATTGTAATCGTGATTTTTGAAATTTTTACTTTATATTATTCTTTTTATTAAAAATGGTATATTTATTCCCTTGGAAGTTATTCAAATAGTAAAAATATTTAATTTTTATTTGAAATATAATACAATTATCACTAATTTGGTGCTTAGTATTAAATATACTAATCATATATACACATTTCTTCTTTAAACTTAACGAGGACTCTAAAATAAAATTTATGATAAGATACAAAACTCTTAAACATTGAGATTATAAAATACACTTATACATATATGTACGTACATCTTTATTAAAATTATTTAAAACTGAATGAAATTGATAAATAGCAATAAATAACGAAAATCAAACAATGCGACTCATATGTTTCCAATGTCTAGTGAAACACTGTAGTTGGAAAAATCAATTTATTTGAATCAGACGTGAATTTCATTATATGTACGCTACTATAAAAATATTTTTTGATCGGTAAATGTTAAAAAAATTGAAATGTTTTGCAAAAAAAGGATATTTTAATTGTGTATGCAAAAGAGACACTTTGAGCAGTTTAACAAAATTAATTTTAGAGTTTAAAAAAAGAGAATATAATTTCAGAAAATTTGAAAACAAATTTATATTGTTAGTAAATTAAAATATTATCTAGACTTCCTTCAATAACAGTACTTTTTACTTAGATACTTAGATAACAATATTTATATATGTATGTATACTTTTTTGTGGCACATTTTTTTCCAAACAAACACCAATCTCAGTAAATTATTATTAATTATTTAAATTTAATTTATTAATAAAAAAAATTTTTGGAGTCAATTAATAGTTAAAGAAATTTATACATACATATTTTTAATTTATAATTAAATTACATTCATACTATTTCGTATAAGTACCTATAAATTATGGTAAATGTTTTAATAAGACTGCAATTAAATTATTGTTGAATGCTATAATATGTTTGAAGCAGATTATATAATATTTTTAAGTCTGCAAATTCAATAGGATTTTGTTCTAGTTAAATCAGATATAAAATATCTAAATATGGATTTAACAGAAAAGAAATTATAAATTCTAACACATCCGAACTTTTCTTATTTTACAAATAGAATGTTTACGAAACTACAGTGAAAATTTTTTGAATAAATTATCTTAAAAATTGAAATTAAAAGCCGTAATCGCATATGTATTTGACTCACTAGGTTTTCAAAGCTTATAAACAAAAAATAAATGTATGTATGTACTGAACAACTGAAACAAGAAAAATATATACATATCATATTAATATATGTATTTAAGTGCAAAACATTTTGTATTTTCTGTTCGGAAATGTTGTTACTTTAGAAAATACATTTCTTCTTGATGACTTCTTCAACAATATTTGGCATGTACTTTTTATAATAAAACTATACTTAAAATATAAAAACTTATTTCTTCAGAAATCTATAAAAAAAATTCTAATATTTAGTTAATAAACGTACACTAATAAAATTTTGAGAAAATTCGTAAGTTAAACAGATTATTTCAGTTTTCCTTCCGAAAATAATAATAAACATACATACATATGGATTTAAAGCCCCTTTTAAAGTCAAACCATAAATTTTACAAATACTCAACTGATTTTACTTTATTAGTCAATTTTAATTAGTTTATTACTTAATTTTATATATTTAATAATAATTAATATTCAATATAAGAAAATAATTTTTATAAAAGGCATAAGTCAAAATATACATATGTACATATCTTTTTCCAGATTAAAATAATTTATAATTTAAAATCAAAACTCTAAAAGATTTTCCAATACAAATTTAATATGAATGTTTTCCAACTATAAACAAAATTGAAAAAATTTATATTTAACAAATAACTTACATATTTATGTACGCAGAATTTTCTTATCTTTAATTTTTCAAACTTGCAAAATTAATCTATAGCCAGTAGATTATCTGTTGATCTTTTTTAAAATTGAAAAACTCGTTTATAAATTATAGCATTAAGTTTATTGATTTTAGAATTTAGCATTCATTGTTATTTGCTCATAACAATTAAGTTAAATTTTATTTCATTTATGTATATTTTGATAAAATGTAAAATTGTAGTTATGGTTATAAGAAATAGTTCATTTCAATTTCACATTTTATCTACTATTTATTTAAAATTTTTTTTTATTTATTTATTTATAAATGATCACAGCTCAAATATCATACCGTTCATAGATACCTAATTATGTAAATAAAAGATATGTGTGCCTTTTCTAAAATATTCATTTCAAAATTATGTTGGTACTGTGTCTCTCACCCAAATTAGGATGTCATTATTTGGCGGCATATTATTATAAGAACATCAAAAAGTGCATTATTTATTTTGAAATTCGCAATAGCTTAGTAAAAATTTACTTCGATCAATAATAACCAAAGTTTTAAATTTTGAATATTCTGTTAATTTACGTAAATTTTTAATTTTTCTAATTTTTAGAATTACCTAAAATTGTGGAACCACAGTCCATGTATATGAACTTTTCCACATGTATATGACCTTTTATTTAATGTACATGTAATGGGTTTGATACTGATATGTTTGATACTGGCACGCTTGATACTGATATACCTAGTATAATAAATGATAAAAAACTTTTTTACTATATCTTCTTTACGGCAAAAATATAAAAACATTGAAATTTGTATTGCATATTTGCATATTATTAAAGAAAAAAATAGTTTTAGCTGAACACTCACGGCATATGTTTGTAGTTATCGTTTAATTATTTTTTTCACAATGGATGAATCGTCGTCTCCTGTTCTCTCTAACGTACTTCACGTGGAGTAAGTGTATACATATATGTAAATACATATGTGTTTAATTATAATACATATGTATATATGTACATTTATAACAATTATTTATGTACAAACTGTGGGTATGTATGTGTGTATTTATAATCTTGATTAAAATTTGTAAACATTAAAAAAATATTAAAATTTCTTTTTTTATAAATTTCAAAGCTGCTTTAATATAAAATAAAAAATGATTTTAGTTCTGTCCAAGATAGATATGTACATACATATGTATGTATTATTCATTATAATCTATCATTCGATACTTCATTAGAATGAGGATTGAACCTGTTCAAGATAATAATGTGCCAACATAAAATTGAAATAATATACATACATACATATGTTATTAATATTTTTTTTACAGGAGAAAAAAATACGGGAGAATTTTATTTCGAACAGACCTTTCATTCTAAGAATCAGAATTAACCAAAAAAATTACTCCCTTTTTGCAACAATAATTTTATGTGACGTGCGTACTAAAGGTATGAATTCGTCAGTCCATCCGTCTTTGAATATGTTTACAAAACTTCTTCACACTTGAGGATAAAAAGCAGAAATTTCATAAATAGATGTTTACTAGAAACATATTTCCATAGAAGAAATTTTTCACCTATCTATTAATAATTAATAATCTAAAACCCGTTTTTTTTTCAAATTTTTATTCCCTCCTGATTGTATGCAATCTTTGAAGCATTTTAGTTACGCAAAAAAGTAATTTACTCAATCTAATTAATTGTTTTTAACAGCAGTATTTTCACTTTTTGAAGGGAAAATTGCTACTTTACAAACCATTGGTTTTGGTCTAACTTTATTAATTTCATATTTGTATTTATATACATACGAGTATGTATGTTATATATGCTGAAATGTAGCATTATTATTTTGTAGTTTTCATTTGAATTATTATTTAAATTTAATTTAATCAATTGATTTACTTATTTATTTATCAATACCACAAAATACTAAATATGAAACTACTATTATAATTACATGTTTTTGAAATGAGTTGATTAAAAAAATGCTTTTATTCCATATAAAGTTAAGTTTTAAAAATTTTATTATTAAATTGAAGTTCCGAACGGTAGATTTTTCTTAATGTATGTATGAAAGATTAAAAACCTAAAGAATTTAAAAATATTTTTAAGTTCAGAATTACAAAAATATATTTTGCATGTGCTTGTACACAACCTAAAATCATCTTATAAAAAACTGAGTTAAGCAATAAGTTTTTCCTTTTTTAAATGATTTCGTGAATTATGAAATACATATGTATGTATATACACACAATATATCTACATATTTTTACGGTTCGATTGTAAGTCTTTAAGTACTAAAATCATTTTTCAATTTTCAAAAAATTTTACTGGAGAAAACTAATAAATTAAAATCTTTTTACTTTATATACATATTAATATATTCTATGTATATTAATTTATAGGAGCAATTACAAAAATATAAAAATTCCTTCAGAAGACAACGAGGACTCAACATTACTTAAGCAAAATATGAGAGAAAAATTTGTGAATTTTAAGAAATCACTTGAAAATCAAAATTTTATTGTAAATATATTATCAATATTTTTTGGAATAGCTGCATGGCTTGGGGTTAATTCAATATTTGTCCAATTACCGCTTATTGTTGAAACAGCTCCTGAAGGCTGGAATTTGCCGTCATATATTGTGGTTATAGTTCAACTTGGTAATATTGGACCAATAATTTATACATTACTAAATAAAATATACCCCCACAAAATAAAGGATGCATATATGATTTACGTTGTTTTAATAATTGGATCTATTTCAATATTACTTACGGCTTTTCTGTATAATAAAACGGTGAATATCAATGAAGTGGAATACAGTTTAGCACTACTTATATTGGTATTCTTCTTGGCACTTAACGCTTGTACAAGTTCTGTACTATTTATGCCATATATGGGAAGATTTCGTGCGGTTTACTTAATAATGTATTTAATAGGAGAAGGTTTAAGCGGTTTTTTATTAAGTATCGTTGCATTAATTCAAGGAATTGGTGGTAATTCAAAGTGTATAGAAGTGAATACGACAAATGGTGCAACAATATATGAAAAATATACCCCACCACCATTATTTGGTAAGTACTCAGATTTGATTTGGTTCTTATTTAACGACTTATATACATATTGTGTACTTCATGTATGTAATGTATAAGTACGACTTAGAACTTTATCATACAATTTATCTACATAATATATTTAAATACATATATTTTTTTTTCTTACAATTTAGCTACTTCGGATTTTTTTATTTTTGTGTTTTCATTAATGTTATGCTGCAGTATTGGTTTCACTTTACTTGATAACTTAAGTATTTGTAAAAAAGAATATGCAGCTGTTAAAATCAATCACGGAAATCACTATGAATATGATACCTCAGATATTTTAGAAGAAAATGTCAAAAAATCTAAATCCAATGAAAATATTGTTACTTCCACGAATACCAAAATAAATATTACATCAAAGCAGCACAAATTATTATTATTAATATTAGCTATTGTTTGTATGTTTGGTAACGGTATAATACCAAGCGTTCAATCATATTCTTGTCTACCCTATGGAAATATTATTTACCATTTAACAGTAGTTTTTACTTATATTGCAAGCCCACTGTCTTGTTTTTTGGCTATTTTTTTAAAACATACTTCTGTCAAATTAATATTAACATTGTCTGGAATTGTTACTATTGTTGCAAGTTATTGCTTAATTACAGCTATATTAAGTCCAAAGCCACCACTATTTGAAACATTAGGAGGAGGAATAATCATTGTAAGCGAATGAATTCAAATAATTTCTTTTGAGGCATGTGATTAGTTTAAATTTTGTTATAGATAGTTGCATGGACTTCATTCGTGGGTGTAGTTAGTTATATTAAGCTTTCAATAACAGCTATAATGAGATTACAAGCTGGGAAATCGTTAGTCTGGACAGGTAAAATTTTATGAAATATTTTAAGAAATAAGTTTTAACACTTAAAAAATTGAAAACTTATATTAGTGAAAATAATTTATTTTATCTACATATATTGTTTGTATAGGTGCAATATCACAAGCCGGATCTGCTGTTGGTTCAATTATTGGATTTTGTTTAATTAATTATACAAAAATATTTATCTCATCTGAACCATGTTGAATTTGAGTATTTATTTAATTAAATTTTTTAAAATAAGTGGTATTATACTAACATTGTATTACATGTAATTGTCAAACCCATTTATTTTACAAATTAAACTGTTTATTTATACCAAATTTATTTTATGGAAATACTTTCAGCATTGTTTAGGAAATAAATAAATAATTCAATGAGTATCTGAATATAAATCAAATATTTAATAATGGTTTATCATCCACATTTTGTCGATCGCGTCAATGAGGTGATTGAAATGTCTATCTAGTCATGTGCCTTCACTTTTCCATAATATAAATCAGTAAACTATCAATATCAACATACGATTAACAAAACAAAAAAATATCTATTCATGCGATGTCTTCAATGTCAAATTCATAAAATAAATATGATTCAACTATATTTCATATGGGAAGAAAAATAATAATAATGATGTTCATTACCTTTTGAAAAATATAATATTTGACAGTTTAATTAAAGCTTCTTATCAGCTCGTCTCGCAAAGTGAACACTATTTAGTTTTTAAACAATGCATGAATAAAATAATAATGCATAAATAAAAATGCATGACTTTGTCTTCAAAGGTTTTTTATTTTAATTTATTCATATAATATAGTAATATAAAAAAGAATTATTGAATCAATGTTTTATATATGTAATTATTTAAATTTCATATCTATTCTAAATATTGGCTTAAACATAAATCAATTTTTTTTTTCAATTTCTATTTTTGTAGCAAAGTTTAAGCAAAAGTATTGACATTAACAACGTACAAATGTTTGATTTCCATTTTCTTTTATTAATGAATTTTCACAATATGAAAATTTTTAGTAAAGAAAAACTTTTTAATCACAGAATCTCAGTATTCTATATTTGAATCGATATGATATCAAAACAAAAGTAAATTTTTTTAATTGAATTCAAATACAGAAAAAATAATTATTTTCAATTTCAAAAAAGATTAAATTAATTTTTACAAAAATATATACATATACATAATTAATTTTTTATGAAATATATTATCTATTTACTTATTATTTGTTAAGTTTAAAATTATGAATATGCACTTTGTTTCGGAACTATACTTTAATTTTAAGAACAGTTTAACAAAGTTTATAGTTTTATAATATATATATTTTTTTATATACAAAATTATTTAAATTTTGTTATTTTTATGTTGAACAATATGCAAATTATTCTGAAAATTTTATTAAGAAAATATGGTTTTTTTTTAGAAACTTGAAATGTTTTTAGTCACCTATTATGGACTATCTAATTTTTTCAATTTAAAATCTTAAATACTTCAAAATAATATTCAAATTATTATTGTAATACATATTATAAGTAAAATTAGTCCTTCATAAATTTTTTTATAAATATACGAGAATATATATATGTATATATGCATATCTCATCTCGATTTAATGTGATATTGAGAAATAAGCCCTTATTATATACATCGCTCTAACTTTGCTTGAACAGCTAATCTCAAATAAATAATTAGACAACCATTCTATGAATTCACAAATTAAAGAATCAAAATTTGCGCATACAAAAACTGATTAACCATTATAATATTATAAGTTGTTTATCGTACAGTTGAATTAGTTTTTCTTTAATTTACGGTAATATTGAAATTACAAATTAGATATCGGTATAAATTATGAAAAAAGGAAAACCATTTAAATATGTTGTAAATATCGTTATTTGAGTGACTGTAATATAAATAAATATGCTGTACAGAATTACAATAATAATGATAATAATAATATTATTTACATATTTTTTTCATTTTTATAATTATATATTAAATTTAGATTATTTGGGTTTTAAATTTTTAAGAGATAAGATTTGCTTTCTTGTTTTTTACACTATTTTTTAAATTATTTTCTAAATCACATACATATTTATTTTTTTATTTTAGTTGGAATTCGAAGTTATTTTAAAAAAAAGCCACAGATAAAATAATATAAAAATACCTCAAAAATATTTTGGATAATACATTAGCAATTGTTTATTATTATACATTGTGTATGTTTGCGAATTCATATTTAAAATACACAGCAAGTTCTAATGAAGCAAATTAATTAATATGTGTACCTTTCAATATAGCCGAATTTTTTTTGAATAATTCATGCAATGCTAATAAATAAGAATTGATACGATATCTTTTATGTTTGGCAAACCCCGTTCAAACGGTAATATTTAGTAATCACACCGTTGGCTACTTTAATAAGTAGACCAGTGATCAAATTAACTGAACTGTATTAAACTGAGGTATTACCATTAATTTTTTTTTATTGAAACTTAGGCGTAAAGTATTTTTTTTCTTTTTACTCAAACTTGATTGCGCCGTTTTTAAGGCAATATAACTTCTTTATTGCTAGAAGAAAATTTGATAAAGCTCTGAAGCAAATATCAAAATTAAGTTAATTATAAAATAAAATATAAAAATAATGGAAATAAGTTGACACGCAGTATGATTTAAGACTATTTAAATTAAAATCAAACTAAAACAAGACTGCAACTGCTTCCAACCAATTTTTAGATTATTAATATAAATATACAGGAAGTTTCCATTACATACTTCTTTTATATTTATATTTTCAATATAATTAAATTGCCGTAAATTTCTGTATACAAACTACAAAGAAGCTCAATTCTTCAATTCTGGAACTTCAATTTCTTTTTATTTTTGTTCTTAATAATTTTTGTTTCAAATTTAAGATTTTCCTTATACTGTGCGACAGGTAGCATTTAGAAATGTTCTCGTAACATCAAATAATAATCTAATATTGTATGTCGCACGTGTATAATATTAGATTATCAACCATAATTGTTCTTTTTATTTTTATAAATATGAATTTCAGAATGCTGTAATAGCACCCGTTTATTTTTAATAATTCAAACAAATGTGAATATTTTTAGAAAAAGTACAAATATAATTCAATATAATATTAAATATTTTTTAAAATACAGAACAAAAATAGTTGAAACGAAGTGGATTTCACAATAATGGGTAAAGAAAATATTTTTCATTTTAAGAATTTTTTATTTAATCACTTTCAGAATCATCAGCATATCTTTTTCTATAATTCCTACGAATTCTTGCTGTATTATGGTGAAATAATTTTATAGAAAATTTATCACTATTACTATTATTATAATCATTGTTTTTATTGTTATTATTATTATCATTATTGTTATTATTATTATTATTATCATTGTTATTCCCATTAATAATGTCAAGGTTGTTATTGCCTTCATTAATGTCATTGACAGTATTATTATTCTCGTTATTTTCATTTATATTGTTATTTAAGTCATTATTATTATTATTATTATTATTATTATTATTATTAATATTATTATTGTTATTATTAATATTGTTACCATTTTCGCTACTATGTCCTGTATTTCTAGCTAAAGATGATGTAAACCCAGGAATATTCATACCACTATTAGATTTGATTGGTATAAAAGTTCTTGAGAAACCATTAAATTTGTTATAATTTTTGGTTCCACCATTTTGTTCAAGATCGTTATTGGTTTGACTTTTGTTATCAGTTTTATAAATATTGCAAAAATTTTTACTATTGGCAACATCATTATATTCCTCAAAGCTATTCTCGTTTGGTTTATTGCAAAAAATTTCTTCAATTCCCGAATTTCTATTATTTTCATTAATAGTCTCCTCACCTGAGCTTTTGCTACCAATATTACTATTTCCAATTCTTAACCGTAAATGACTAGTATCTTTAGATTCGGATGTCGAAATTCGACGTTTCTTGAATCCGATTGTTGTTGTATGGTTATTATTACTATTGCTACTACCAATGAAACAGTCTGAACTCTCATTACTAAATGAATTCGAAACATCGTCTAAATAATCACTGCTTGATAATCTTGAGTTTGAATGACTTGAATATACATCCAAACTTGGATTAATTGAATTTTTGATTTTTTTGCCATTGAAATTTTCTGAAGCATTATTTGCAGAAAAATTAGAGCTATTAGATGATTCACCTACAACGGATATGTCTGGTGCTATACGTTTCCTAGAAAGTCTATTTGCACATACAATACTCTGGTTATAGTTTTTACCATATACATTGTGCATAGGGGTATCATCTTCCATTGCATTATCACTAATAGTAATATTTTTGTTATCAATATTACATCTATAGCTATCACCCCTAATATTTTTATTATTATTATTATCATTACCATTATTATCAGAGTTATTATTATTACTATTATTACCATTATTGTTGTCATTATCGTTAATAGTTTTATTGTTACTTGTATTATTGCTATTATTGCTATTACCATTACAATTTTCAACTCTATCATTACCATTATTTATTTCGTTGTTGGAACAGTTCATATAAGCTTTGTTCCTGTTACGGGTGAGTGAAATATCTTCACCAACAGTGTCAATACTAACGTTTTTAATATTGTTACTATTATTATTACTGTTATTATTATTATTATTGTTATTATTATTATTATTATTATTATTATTATTATTATTATTATTATTATTATTATTATTATTATTATTATTATTATTATTATTATTATTATTATTATTATTGTTATTATTATTTTTATTATTATTGTTATGATTATTATTATTATTATTATTATTATTATTATTATTATTATTATTATTAATATTATTATTATTATCGTTATTATTATTACTATTATTACAATTACTATTATTATTATTACTATTGTTGCTTTTATTATCATTATTATTACTGCCATTATTTTTGTTATTACTATTATTATTGTTATTATTATTGTTATTAATATTATTGTTATTATTACTATTAGTGCTATTATTTGCATTGTTGTTATCATTATTTTTATTATCACATTTATAACTGCTACAGTTAGGCGACTCGCTGTGGATAATATTGTAAAGAGTAACATCAGTATCACTTCTTGCAGATCCAATATTGTGACAATCACCCTGATTATTTTCGCTAACATTACTTAAGCCTCCTATATCGTCATTTATATTAACGCTGTTTGAAATGCAACTGTTGTTTATATTTGTGGCATGGCTATTAATGTTAACAATATCACCATTGCTATTATTATTATTGTTATTGTTACTGTAATTATAGTTAATGTTGTTGTTATTATTATTATCAATATTGTGATTGTTACTATAATCAATATATCGATTATTATTATTACTACTCGTGATACTGTTTTCGTTATTAATATTATTGTTAGCAATTGAATTTGTTGCATTGTTTTCTACATTTTCAGCAACTAGAATATTGTTATGCAAATTCCCTGTAAGTGCAATTGTATTATTTGCTCCACTAGGTTCAGTGTTATAATTGTTAGTAGGAAGATTTTCTGCTTCAGTTTCTACATTAGAAGAACTATTATCACTTTCAGATGGCAACATTCTGTAAGAATTATTAGTATTCCTGCGGTTATTGTTATAGTTATTGTTGTTACTGTGATTGTTGTTAATATTATAATTTGTGCGTCCATTCAAGACTACGTCCCGGATGACATTATGATTATTATGGATATTATTATTGTTAACATTGTTCTGGGCAGTTTGAATTGTAGAGCTGTGACTGACATTTTCATCTTCATCATCATCATCGTCGTAGTATTCTGAATCAAGAAGCTGTTCCTGTTGCCTCAAACGAATTATTATATCTAAAATCAATTTAATATGTATATGAACAAAATTTTTTAAATAATGTTTACTTTTACCTCGACCACTGGAAGTGATTCCAGTACTGGTACTTGGTATAGCAATATTTGTGGTTCTTGATGGCTCGTAATTGAAACTTACATCTATGTCATCGTCGTCATCTGATGAACTGTCTGATGGATCTAAAATTAATGTGACACGAAGTACAATAATAATAAAAAATTTCTATCACTAGCATGCGTAATTACCAATATGCCTTCTACTTCGATGTTTTCTTCTTAATGCTCTGAAAATCGCATCATAACGTTTCTGACGCATTGTTTTCAAATCTGTGCTATCAGGGTTGTGACTGTTATTTGAATTAGTACGATTTCTAAATGACATAGAGGGCATATAGCGACCGGTGCGTTTTTGGGAATTTCCACTTCTACTTGTTCTCACATTCTGACCGGCGTGATTTCGATGATGTATTTTTTTTTTGGTTTTAACTATATTTTGACGACGCCTAGAATTAGACGCACCTTTTAATGCCAAACGCCTAAGAGTATTACGTTTTGTTGCTATTAAATAAGCTATTCGATTTGTATATTTATTGCGTTGAGGCTTAACTGATGTGCCACTTCCCCGACGATTCCGACCTGCAAGAAAATAAGTTATGAAATTGTCAAAATTATAAAAATTCTTTGTAACTTCTTGAACTCATAAAAAAACTGTTAATGTTTTCGTCTTCATCTGAATCATCAGTAGAACTATGCCGTGTACTTCTTTCCTCAGAGCTATCATTACTAAATTGGCATGAATCTGAGGAATAATTTGTTGTATTCCATTGTTCTATTTCTTGTTGTATCAATGAATCAAAAAAAGCCATCATTCTCGAATCCTCTTGGGTATTTTGAGTGCTATAATCATGTGACATATTTGCACTTGCTAGAGAAAGATAGGCATCGTGTGTAAATACTTCTCGTGGATTATCTGAACCGGTAGCTTCGTCTACAAGACTACCTGTCCAAGACTTTTGCTCAAAGGGGCTCCACATCTAAAAAATATATAGTGTATTAATATATTGTAATATACATTATAATAATTATAGCGTTTAAATACATATTTATTGTTTTAGAAAATACCTTTACAATTTTCTCTACACCTGATGATGCTAAAATACATTTTTCTGGATTATATCTGACTTGATTTACAATTGATCTGTGCCCATATAACACCATTTGAGTTTTTTCGATCCACTGGTGACTTTGTTCCACTAAAAAAATACAGCATATTGGTACAAAAACTTTTTAATTAATACAAAATATTATTAAAAAACTTTAAACAAAAACTTGATCACTTACAGTCAACATCGCCAACCCTCCAGACATATAAATTAAAATCATCCGAACCCGAAAGAACAAACTCATCATCTTCCCCAGCAAAACAACAACTCTTCATTGTGCATGAATTATAATAATCTGGATGATAGAACTGGCATATTGGCGAATCAGAACTTGTATTATACAATATAGGGGGCAAGCGACGTCTAAGTGCTAAAACTAAAGTTCCAGTTGAATTAAAACGAACACTCATACAACTTTTTTGATTTTCTTCTCCTCCATATTGGATTAATGGCCTACGTAAAAAATTAAATAAATAGTCTTCAAAAATTAGTGAAAATATCAGTTTGATAATATACTTCGATGTGGATCTTATGTCCCAAAATGCAGCACCCTTTCTTGTATTTGCAGTTACTAAAAAATGTCCATCATATGGATGAAATTGTACTGCATGGAATGATGCTTGACGACTTCCACCGAACTTCCCAAATATTTGTACTGCTGCACTTTTACGTTGATCATATATTGTAATCTTTCCGTCTTCACTTGCAGTTGCTAAAATACTATCACAAGTTGGATCAACTGACAATCCATACACCGGTTTTTGATGTATGAAAACATCAACTACTTTTTTCCTACAAAAAATTAAAAATCTTTATAACAGAACTTTGAATTTTATTTGGAAATATTACGTTTCAAAATCATGTACTATTACAAGCTCATCATTACCACCAGAAAATATTTTTGAATTTGTTTTATCAAATCCTAAGCAGAATATATTACTTTGATGTTCTTTGTCCATTGATATTGGCGGAGCATATCCAGCTAGCGATTTTTCAACATCCCACAACAAAACCCGTTTATCATCGCCACCAGAAACTAAATATTTACCTCCGTTACTAAATTCAATTGCATTGACACAACCATAATGCCCAACTAAATCAGTTTTGTAAAGATTTTTTGCTGAAAATAAATAAATTTTATCATTTTATCTATTAAGAAAGTATTATATATAAAAGTTTATACTTATATTAGATAAGAATAATTCTTGAAGGTTTTATTTATTTATTTACATATGCTTCAAAGGAAAAAATTTTGAAATAAATTTCTTAAAAGAAACTTCGCCAAGTAAGGTTAAATGGTCAAAATTTATTCGGAAATACATGGATAAAATATTTTAAATATTACAATATTCTCAAAATTTTAAATATTACAATAGAACTCATTTTCTTAAAACGAACAAAGTAAACTTACTTAGTAAATCAAATTTTAAGTTGAGAAATAATTTCCGAAAAAAAAAGACTTTGTCATTTAATTTTTATTCATTACTTCCGAGATAATTAAGGAGCTTTTTGATAGAAAATTTCAAAACCTAGCAATTCTAAATGGCTTAATTTCGAAAATAATATTTAATAATATTGTCGTATACGTACAAGGTCAGTTAATTTTAAAATAATACTGTTTTACTACCTATTAAAGTATTATTAATGACAAAATTCGAATTTTTTTTTGTTGACAAATTGACAAAAATGAGCAAACTCTCTAAAGCCATTTATAAAAATAATGAAACAAAATTTTTTATTTTACCTGAACCCACAAACCTTTACCGATATTAAAGAAGATGACACCTTAAAGGATACGAAAAATGATTAAATGAACTCAGATGAACTCAAAACAGTCAAAGGAGGTAAAAATCAAACTTCAGAAAAAGTGCTGTACCTTCACAGTTGAACATTCGAAAAGACCTTCCCATAACTTTATGGCTACCATACAGTCTTAGTCGCAAAAGAAGTCCAACAAATTACTACAAAATAATACAGTACCACAAAAAAACAATAAGAGTGAAAAACATTTTTCAACAGCAAAATAAATACCGAGATTTTACCAGAAATTTTGTATATCCTAATTGAAATAAATACATTAGGCCATCATTAATTATTCTCATAGTATAAAACAAATAGTAAGAAAATTCATGGCAAAACGTTTAAATTTTATTTTTCTTGATGAACCCATCTCGACAAATAGGATATTTGTCGATTTTGCTATTCCCGGTCCATTTGCACGAACACTATTTTTAGACGTCTTATGAATCGCAGTATTACGCCCGCTTAGAAAGTCATAATACATAAGAAAAAGTCACGAACCCTCCCGAAGCAACCTATTCTTAAAAGGGTTATAGCCTCACACTCGCGCAACAGAGAGGAAGGGCAGACCCCAATGCAGAGATTTTACAAATATATCCACCTTGTCCGTCCCCAATTACCCAATATTTTGATAAAATTTATCAAATTTTATATGCATAGATATAATTTAATTTTGTATATTGACAATTACAGCATTAGATTACTTATTGAAAAATCGAATTACATTATGTGATTAAGTATTTGACATAAAAAAAATGCAGAAAAACGTTTACGTAAAATTGGAAGCGTTGAAAACAGTAAGTACATCATGGAACTAATCAAATTTTAAAATCTCAATATGTAATATCAGATATACGTATGTATACTTATGTGTTAATAAAATAAAATAAAGTTGGGTCAAACCAATGGTTTGTATAGTAGCACTTTTCCTTTCAGCAAGTGAAAATTCTGCTTTTAAATACAGTCCATGTATACCTATCACACTATTAAAATTATTTTCATTCATATACAAAGCGATTTCTAGGATTGCATATATTTATGATGATGCGTACATGCAGTCTTTCAAATAAAGCAAAAATTAATATAAAGAGGGGTTAACATAATGCTCGAGTTTAAGGTTTAATTGGGTGAGTTAAGAAAAATAATTATATTTTTTAATGTCATGGAATTTACCGTTAGCTTTTTGCGTTTAAAGAAATTTGGAAAAGCTTGCGGTTTCGGAAATATAAGGTGTCAAAAATTCAAATTTTACAAATTTCAGGAGACGATAACTTGAGTGGGGGAGGAGATAGAAAAAAATTTTCTTCCAAGGAAATGAACTATTTGTTAATGTCTAAAAGCCCCTAAAATTTCAAGCTACTACAGGCTGGGGTCTAGAAGAAAAACAACATCAAAAATTTGGAAAAAAGGGACTTTAGATAACGGTAAATTTGAACAGCCATTTTGTTTTTCTAAAGTTTAACTATAGTATACCGCGCTAGGGGAGCAAGCTGCTTATGGTTTCATTGCGACAAATATTAAAAAAAGGCAAGTTTTAGGGTTTTGGGGGGGTGCAACTCCTAGAAGGGGGGAGATAGGTAAAAATTTTGTTCTACGGAAATAAGTTTCTAGTAAAGATCTATGTACATACAAAATTTCAGCTCTCTATCTTCAAGGGTGTAGAAGTTTTGTAAACAGACACACGGACAGACGGACGGACAGAGTGAAACTAATAAGCACTTTTTTTCAAAATTTTTTTGGAAAAGTGCTAAAAATAAGAATTGTGAAGAAATCAGTTGTACTCGTATCGTTTAAAAAGCTATTCAAAGCCCACTGAGGTTAAACAAAGTGTTGGGATATTAGCATTTTTAAAACCAAATTTAGAATAATGGATCTTAGTTTTGTGTTGAGTTTTTTATAAATAATGAAATTGCATTTTTGGCATAACACCATTTAAAAATCATTCAAAAATTTTGGCAAAAAAAAAACTTTTATATTAAAATAGAAAAAAATTTATGATGATTAAGGCATTAAATGAATTGCGTTGTGATGCAAACGTGTTTAATATTAAAACTTCAGGCAGTAATACAATAATCTAAATGTGTAATAATTTCAGATATCACTCCCAACTACACCAACCTATGTATATACAAAGGAACAGATGAAAGCCAAATGACTTACATGTAGGTTAGTTTTTACTACACCCAGCTATACTCACTTTGACGGTTTATATTTAAAAATAAAACTTAATTATAAACAGAAAGCAGCTTTAAAATTAGAAAATAAAGTATTAATACTTATTCGAATGTTTTGTTAATTTATATCACTTACTTATTAATTTTAAGATTAAACCATAATTGTATTTTAATTTGTTTTTAACTTATTTTTAGTTTAACAAAATAGATATGTATATATATTGTATGTGAATATTAATTTATTCATAAAATAAAGTGAGAAAGGCCTTTTTTATTGTATTCACCTTTGAATTATGTACATCATTGTCCCCTGTTATCATTGTCACAAAAAAAGAAAAATAAGTGAAAGACAAAAACTACCATACCAAAGAAAAATGATGAAAGTAAATTACAATACAAAATTGCAAGTATTGTTGACAGTTCATTTTTTAATGATGACATCAAAAATGAATGATGATTCACAAAAAAATTACGGCAGATCCGACAATTCTTAAAATTTAGAATAAAGCAACAACGTATTTCGCTTAATTTAGAAAAAATTTTTCGATCAAATATTAAAACGCTGGTTAAAAATTCTCCCAGAACAACAACTACATATACTTATATGTACATATTTTATATTAAAATACTTTTATGTTTGAACACAAACATAACAAACATAAATAATATAAAGTAAGTAATCGAAGAGAAAAAATATGTACATTAGGTACATAGTACATACACATAATGTACCTACATTTTTTTGATAAGTATGCAAAATTTCAATTTTACACTATATACTTATATGTATATATATATTATACATATGTATATATACATATCTAATGGGTATTTAAAATAACTAATTGCATTAGACGGGTATTATTTTTATTAAAAAAAAATTATTTAAGATGTATTTAATAAATATATATATATGCATACATATGTACGTGAATATTATATATATGTATGCAATAAACTTATTATTAGTATAAAATGTAAGCAATAGGTACCTATTTAGCTCTATGAATCCAACAATGCAAAAATAATAATTAAGTATGACCGTGTACATACAATCTATATATATAGTATGTAACTTATATAATATATATTTATCTATTGTACAATTATATACTACATTTATATACATATTATAATATGCACTTAGAAGTATATACATATGTACATACATATCTCTAAGTACATATGTACATATTGTATATTTATATGTATCTAAGATATTATCTGCACATAAAAATATATTATTTATGCAATCGTACATATGTATAAATATATATAAAAATTTACATCTGTATATAAATCAAACCATCGTACGTTATAATATGTGCATACGTAAAATTATACCCCGTTTAAAACCATTTTGTATTTTTCTGAAAAAATTTTACCTAAATATGTAAAAACTTACATATTACATACATCCATACATGTATATATATATATATATATATATATATATTTGAATCACACTCAATCATTATAATATTATGTTTTATATATATTATAAGCTACATTCCTATATATACATAAGTGATTAAATACCTTACATATATATTATATATACATATATACATATTATGTAGTTATGTGCACAATGCATAAACTTCATGACTAAATTAGGGTGCTAGGACTGATCGAATTTTTGCCTTAAAAATGAATTGTTGCAACTAAAATAAAGCAAAAAATATGAGAAAATGACCGTAATACTTATGTATGTTTAAACATTATTATACATAATATACATAAGTAGACACATCTACAGAATCTAAGTAGTTACATAGTTCACCTTTAAATGGATAAGTTACAAAATAAACTAAAATTAAATTTTATAGAACAGCTTATTGTTTCAAACTTTAATTTTTTAAAACCTCGAATACCGTGCAAATATAAAATTCATTCGTGTTGCTGTATGATTATGCCTAAAATGTAAAGTGTAGTGACAATTTCATTTACTAACTCTTAAAATATTTTACAAACATGTACGTATACATTTCAAAAAGTTACAATTTAAAAAGAAACATAAAAACACAATCTTACACTTATTTTTTTGTGTTTGGAAAATTTGTTTTATTTTTAAATTTTTAAGTAAAACTTGTTGCCCCTTCACGAAACAAAAAAAAATTAGCCGACTCGAGGCTAGTTTTAAAATGACTCGATTAAAATATAATTTTTTTTTTTTTTTTGACAACGTCAAAGTAGGCAAGTATATGTTAAAATTAATACTTACCACATGTCAAAAAATTAAATACGAGTAATAACTGTTGGTAAAAAAAGCATGTGAGACAAAATTGATTATATTTTAGCAACATAACTGAGTAAAAATTTGAGAAAGAATGAGAGAAAAACTTGTTGCTTTCAAATTTCTTTCGGGAATTCTAATAAAAATTTATTTTTTATCTGACCTGAGATACGTATAAACTACGTAGAACACGAATATATAAACATATTACGCAAACGTTTCGAATTGTCTATATTTCGAAGCTCTTGCATACGTAATATATTCAAAAATGTACATAATATGTATTATAATTGGTTAGTTAAATGAAATATGGGTTTATAACTTAAATCTAGGTAGCCCCATTTTTATGAATTGTAGATCTTATGATTTTCATTTTGCAATATATAATTTACCAATTAAATGTATAACAACACCCTTGTATATAAACATATTGGAAATTTTGTTAGTTTATTTTGATTAATACCCTGTCAGTCAGGTATCCCAAAAATATATATATAATATGTGCACGAATATATGTATGTATGTACATGAAAGAGATTTTGACCAGTACATAATATATAGACACCGTTTTCTTTAATTATGTTGATCTGGCCACCTTGACTTAAATTTATTTTACATATACATATTATTTATATGTAATAATGTATATAAGTATATATAATATATATTCTAAATATATATTCTAAGTGTATATAATATGTACATTATAGTTATGTATATTGTATGTAAGTGCATGCATAGTGGAAAAAAGTCAAGTACATAATATATATGAACATATATACATACTTACATTTTATGATTCAATATTCTCATGAAAGATATTAATTTCAAAAGATTATAAAAAACGTATGTATGTATGTATGTAAGTAGCTACTTATACAATTATGTTTAAAATAAATTTACTTACCAATTTTTAAACGTTCTCTAAATATCATTGATGGAAATATACCACCAAATCTGGAATTCATTTGACGGCTAGTTAATTGATTAAATAAATTTGGACCTGGTGATGTAGACATTTTTATATTTTTTTTTTTTTACTACAAAGGAAACACTTAGTACCCGTACTAAAATAGAGTCGGCTTTATTTTGAATATAAAGAGAAGAGAAAAGTTTTTAATATGATAATGTCCTAAGAAATCACTTTTATTTTTTATTTTTTAAAGTTATTGCGAAATTTTTTATGATTTTGTTTTTTTTTTTTATATAACGAATATAAGTTATACAATATTATTTTTAAATTTCGAAATTAGCTAAGTATGTAAAAATATAATTTGGCAAGTTCCACAAAAAAAAAAATTTAATAACAATGATGAATTTCGATGATTTTCCAAGTCATATGAAAGCTCTCACTAATCAAATTATCTAGGTAGTATATTCATATTGTTTTCCCCAAAGGAATTGAATTTCAAACCATATTTTTAACAACTTATATACACTAAAAATATTTTTTCTTTAAGAAACTTATTTTCTTATAAATATTCTATTATTTAAATGGATGTAAATCAACATTTACTTCACGGTAAAAATTTTCATTATTATTTTACACCTCTTAGTCGCAGTTTTGACGACGACATCTTGTTCATTTGTCAAAAATTCCATTAAAACAATTTTTTTTAAAATAGTTTTTTATAATATGAATTGGTAGATCACAAATCCAAAATAATTAATTATTAAATGTTTTGTTTTTTTTTATATTTTTTGTAAATTTTTGAAATTTGAAATAAAAAAAATTTTATATTTTAAAATATTTCTTCTGACAAATTACCGATTCACACAAATGACTGCAAAATTCACGATTTTTTTATTTTTCTTTTTTGTATTTTGTATTATATTTTCCTTTTCTTCTTTCTTCGACCAACCAACATAAGTGCAAATGTGTTTGTGCATTCTTTCTACTCTATTAGATACTTTTACTGTTAAACTATAGGGTGTGTAAAAATTTGTAATAATCAATTAGGGTAATTTTGTCAATAAGTTCACAAAAAATCCAATTTTTTTTTTTTAAAATATGAATCAAAAAAAAACTTCAATAAATAACAAAGTAAATATAAAAAATTTATTTGTTTTTTTAACGTTATCAACTGTTTCACATAATCGTAAGCATTTCTTTAAGTGACTTTTGAACTTGTACCAATAAATTTTTACTTGATACATATTTATTTGTAAAAATTATAAAATAAATTCAAAAGATTTCGGGCACATTACGTATTTCGTGCTGTCAAATTTCCATCTTGAACGCTTTTTATTATAATACATTATGTGTATTGCATTATAATAAATTACTTTTCTTGGACGGACCTAATGTGAAACTTTTCAATGATATGTTTTCATGAATTGTCAAAAATAATATTTCGAACAATATTTTAAATGAATTATGAATATAATTATAAGAATAATTACTACATGGCAGTTTTCGTATAATATAGAACGTTTTTGTTTTGTTTTTTTAACCACGGAACATAATTATATTTGTCAAAAATAAATCCACGCTCATTTTTTTACCACAGAATAGTCAAAACAAAGTATTTATATTGTTCTTTTTTTATAGCACCTACGTGACCAAAAAAAAAAATTACAGATTAGAAAAATCATGAAATAACATTAATTAGCTCTAAATTTGACAAGATACTCTGACACAAACCTCGATAAAAATTTGAAAATTTAAGTTATTGTCAGTATAACTGACTGTCAGAGTGAGTTATATTGAAAGCCGATATTATTTGTTTGGTTGATTAAAATTTAAATAGTATTCAATAAATACGACAGAAATAGGAGAAAATAATTTTAAAATATTGAATTTACACCCAAGAGTATGTATTGTGATGTTTCAAATTAGTACTTATTTTTTCCAATAAGTACTAATTTTATTTTATTCACTTTACTTTGCTTACAGTTAATTTAAATTAATACATATGCATTTTTTAACATTGTCATTTGTTTAAGTCCAATTTTTTCATTTTTTGTTTAGTGAAAATTGCAGTTTCGTAAAAATAAAGCATTTCTTTATACTTCAAATTGAACTATGAAGGAATAATAAATATTTGAATACTATATTTTTACACATTAATTTATGTAAAAGTATATATGTATTTACATATTCAATCCGCACACAAATTTACGGGTAAAGTGTAAAATAAATGCAAAGCTACAACGTGTAAGCAACGAAATTTATTTTAAAAACTGAATTAGTTTAATTGCATTATGTAAATGCATATATCATTTTAATATACTTTTGTACGTTTTATTTACTTTTATTTATATAATATGTAAAGTATATTTTTTATGCATATGTATATAAATATTATATACATAATTATGTTTTACGATTCGTAATTTAAATATTTTTGCATACCGTGTACATATGTATATATATTCACATTTATATGCAATTTATCCAGAATTGATGAAAAAGTCATAAATATGTTCATGCATATATACATACATATATATATTTGAATTTACCATTTACCCATATTTATACATTTACTTTTGTAATATATGTACATAAATCTAACAAAACGTAGAAAAAATAAATCGATAAAATGATCTTTCCATTACTTATATACCTCACCCTGTACCTCGTTATTCCATATACAGATAAAACGGTCTTATGTTGTATGTACAAAACAAATATATAAAAGTGTTAAATACATAGGCTATTTAAGTATTTATAAGACTGAATCATAAGATTAGATTTCTTTTTAAAATAAATATTTTGGAATCAACATTTTTCATGAGATTTTAAACTACATACATACATATGTGCATACGAAACTTTTATCATTAATAAATCAAATTGAAATACACATATTGTATATACTCATTATTTTTTCGTATTATTTAATATTTTTCTGTTTCTCTTTTTAATACATGAATACGGCTTACTTAAATTTGTGTACATATTATGTGGGTATATCCATAAACTCCTATAATGTATATGAAGATGTTTGTGGTATATCTCTGGCATATCTAGAAAAAATTACAAACACATTCATGTCAGCAATAGTGTAAAATAAAAAAGTTTTCTTGTGCATATACATTTATATATCATATGTTTGTATGTATATACAATGCTTTTAATCCTACCAACTTATAAATAAAATCAGCTGAAGCGATTTGTTTACATTCTGCCGCACCATCTGTTGTTTATTTAAAGTACTATATGAAGTTAGTATTAATCTGATGTAGAAAATGTTGCCAATGTACATTTTCTGTTGACTATCCCTATAGGCAAACTTGGAAACAAAACGCATGTAGCAATTTTTAATTTTGCTTTTTTGCTACATTTCTAAGATGGCCAGTTGAGATGAAGTCGATAGACTCGTTCGAGATCTATTTAAAAATTTTACATAGATTGTGGATATTTAAAAAACTTATTCAAAATTTGTGCTCAAAATACGTTTGTATAAATTTTTTTTTTAGATGCAAAAATAAATGATCAAAATGATAGTTGAAGATGACAGCTAAATGGAACATTAATTGTATAATGCTGTGAACGCAAAATATGTTTTTTTCTATCCTTTATGTTAGTTGCATATTTGCAAGTGTAAAAACACATATGTACATACACATTAGGTCTGTCTGGTATGAGAAAGTTTATAAAACTTGAAAAAACTTTAAAGAGTTTCTGCATGCAAAGCATCGGGGGATAATACTTTCTGGAGAAAAGTGAGAGAAAATGATGACGTTCTCATTTTCTCAATGCTTCAAGTTCTTTCAAGTTTTATCCCAAACAAACATAAAGTTTTTTTCAACTTTTCCGCCTACTTTATTTTTTTTCTAAATGAGAAATTTTTCCCCTTTGCGGATTACGTCATTGTTTCTCTTTTCAAAGATTTTTCAAGCTTTATAAACTATAAAGACCCGTTATATAACTAGAATTTTGCTAAAGGAAATCCAATTTGAAAGCAAATTTATTTGCTGTGTTATGTTATGTGCATGACGAGTTTTTATGTATGCAGGTGTTACATACAGAACTATCAATTAAAAGAAAATTATGTAATATATAGGTGCATACTTTTATATACGTCTTTTCTATTTAAGTATTGAATTTATCTGTATGCACGATCATAGTCACTTAAAACATAAATGAAATCGTGATATTGACGTTAGAACAAAAACAAATTGCCTTCACTCAAATTGGGCGAATAAGAAAATCCTGCATAAACATTAATTTATGAATAAAACATGTAAACTTTTCGAGGCGTTTTCAACGATATGTATGTCTTACCAACTATTTTTTCTTTAAGTTTTTGTGATAACGATTTCAAATGTTGCAAAGCTTTTCAAAACTTTTGTGAATTCTTCGATGTTTCATCTTTGAATATTTTTTTTCATTAAATTAAAAAAAAAAATAGTGTACAACGTATTTATTATTCCTTTTACTGACTTATCATCATTTAATATTACGGATTACTTAAAAATTATTTGTGTAAAAAAAAAATAAATGAAAAATTTTTTAACTAATTTTCATTATTTGACGAAAGATTTCAAATTCACATTACAGCAATATTCTAAAGCATATTAAACCATTTCGAACATATTATGATTTCTGAATTTTTAATTGAGTATTGAATCTTGAAGTTTCTACAATCTTGTTATATTTAGATTTTTTTGTTTTTATTCATGTATATATAACAATTATTCAGTACCACAATATATATATAAAAAAAAACAAATATTGCTTTTTTTCGTTCGCCCGTTCAAATTGGATGTATTACATTTATATGAAGGTAGTCCAGGTTTATTATATCTACATTTAATATTATACATTCAAACCTACGTTTACTTTTAATAATTTAATATCTCATATAATTTCATAAATAATATAAAAAAATGTAAACATTTATATTTTATTAACTGAATGTAAATGACCACTCTTACTTTAAAAATAAATTATTGTAGAGATATATTGGAAAATCCTTTCACAAATTCGTATAAATGAAAAGAAAGTTTTTGTAAAATAACTTAACTGGTTAATTTTTTTTATACATATTTTAATAGTACATTTGCATTCAAGATTCAATCAATGTAAATGTAAACCAAATCTGTTGTGGCTGACATAATAAATAAAAGAAAATTATATTAACCTTACGAATCAAAACATTTATGTACTATTATCTTAAAAAATAATGTATTTTATAGCAACTAAAATTATATACTTATTTTTTTTTAATTATTTCCATAATTTTAATATTACAGTTTGATTTTTTTATTTAGTTTGATTTTTTTAAAATATTTATGTTATGTTTTTTCCTGCAAAAATTAATATCCTCCTTTAATTCTTTGTAACTGTGTTTCGCATTGATGGCGTTATATCAAAATCTATGTATTTATGGAGGAATTAGTTATTAGATCTACTTAAGTTTATTCAAGATTTTAACTTATTTTATGTTTATCATATACTTAGGTTTCATAATTTATTATTGTAGAAGAAATTTTCAAATTATAGTTGTTGAATTCATAATGTATTCATATCGCTCGGTTTAAATGGTAGGTTTAAGTCTTTACATCTTGCCATTATAAAACGTTCTAATGTTGCTCCAGCGCTAAAAATAAATTATTTAATTTTTTTTTGTGATTTAATATATAAAAATTTTGCAAATATAATCGTATGTACATATTATTTATCTATGTATGTTAGTTAGAGAGGTCTTTTAAAATTGTTTTTTTGCAAATTCCAAATTTAAAAATGTTTTTCATAAAAATTAAGCGTTTTACTTTTTTTTCAATTAGTTTGAGAAATTCGACAAGAAAATTATTAGTATTCAAAAAACAAATCGTACTACAGAGTTACTTATATTAACTAAATTGAAAATAATAAAAATATTGTTATATTTACACATAGATTTCATTTCCTTCCGTGTTATAGGCATCACAATTTTTGAAAACTAGTTGAATATCATTTAAAACTTCTTCGTTGATGCGATAGTGTCCCATATTTAATTTTGATTTTATTTTAGCAAAATCCATTGGTCTTTTTATTATTTCATAATAATCAGGTACTTCTGATTGTAATACGGGTCGTAGGAAAGGCCATGAATTTTCATTTTTGGATATGTCATCTAAGAGATCGTATAACACAACACTGTTTAATGGTAAATTTTCACCAGTTCTTCTCCCTCTCCTCGTTTGCTTTGTATCCTCGTCTTTATTCACTTTCCCTGAATTTCTAGTGGAACTTCTCAAAATGTTGTTAGTGTTATTTTGGCTTTTCTTATTTTTTTCTGTTGTATTTCTTTTTTGACGTTTAACTAAAGGTTCATCGTCACTTGAACTCTCCACCGAATCAGATTCTGAAATAAATTTAAAATTGTAATTCGCATTTTTCAATTGGGCCTACTTACCATAAACTTCCTCTTGTATTTTTTTCTTTTTATCATCTTTTTCTTTGCATTTCGTGCACTTCCATTGTCCTCGCGGATTCCTTTTCAATCCAATACAGTCCAAATGAAATTGTTTGGAACATCCACCACAAGTGATCTCTATTCCATCATACGAACAAATATGACAAGCCTCTTCTTCATCTCTGTTTTAAATTAAACAAAATTTTAACACATTTTTCATATAAACAATGATTTCATACTCTTCTTGGTTTTCTTCATTTTCTTCACTTTCTACATCGTCATCTGATTCTTCTGAGTCTTCTTCGAGATCTTTAGTATTTTCCTCAATATCCCTATTTTCATCATCAGTTTCATTTTCGTTTTCAACTTCATCTGTAGAATTATCAACTTCTTCTTCGTTCTCTTCATTTTCTGAAACATATTGGACTCCTCTCTTATTCTTTTTAAATAAATCATCAATTTTTTTTTGTTTTCTGTCCTTCTCTGGTATGAAATCTTCATCATCTTCACTATCGTAGTTACGTTTGCTTTTGCTAATCTTTTTGGAGCCCCGTGATGAATTACTTTTACTGTCATCATCTTCATAATCATTAACTTGGGGCATAAACTGCTTTCGCTTTCTGCCCCGTTTTTTTGTTTCTTCATCAAACACATTTTTAAATCCATATGTTGTAACACATCTTTTGCAATACCAGTTACCTTCAGGAATTTTCTAAAATTGGAAATATTTCAAATTTAAAATAATATAAACATTTGAAAGATTTACAACAACATACTTTTAATTTGGGTTTCAAGCAGAACATATGTGTTCCGGCATTACATTCATCGCACAGAAGCAATTTTTCAGCGTCACCACGCCTACGGCAAATTATACAATTTGAACGATTTGTAGATCTATTCCATCTTATTGAGTCATGCAATACGTTTAAATGTAAGAATACTGAGGAGTAACTCGCTGCATTCATTAAAGATCTCTCCCAATGTTTAAGCTTTAGGGTGGCTTTATCTAACTGAATTTTTCGTTCTTCTTTATCTCTTATTTCTTTTTGAAGACCAAATGGAGCTTTAAAGAACTTTTGTTCTATACTTTGACCGATTTGCAGTAAAGCGGACGCTAAATTTGTAACTAAATTTTTAAGCTCTGGAGATTCGTAATTGCAAATACTTTCATCACTACTATCTTCAGACTCAATTTCCATAGTATCACCTAAACTATCACCTGGATCTCCAGCCTTTTTACAGAGAGAGTCATCTGGACCCCAAATTAATTCTACTTGAGGTTCATATTTTTTATCTGCTAAGTCTTCACGCCATTTCGATATATTATTCACTTTCATTTTACCCAAACACCCAGTTGTTATGTCCACTTCCAATTGCATAATTTTTTCTACTAATGCATTGTACATTACTTCATTGAGGTCGCTGTTGACTGGCATTCCAAAATTGGAGTTTGCGTACTTTCTATTTGTTTCATTAATCATTTGTGTTTTAAAACGTGCTAAGCGTGTAGAGTCTTCTTCTAAATTCAAATAATCTATAGGACATTTTTTAATGTGTTTTATTAAAAATGGTTTATAGGTTATCAATTGATCTTTTAAATATGACTCTCTATCTGCTAAAGAATTTAAACAATCTACAAGAGCATCAAATTCTTCTTCAGTATACAAGTATGACCACCGTACTCGGTCTGGATTTTTTTCGTCATGAACAATACAATGTTTTGAATTTCCAGTGCACATATATAATTCATACTGTGTAGGTTCCTTTTGTTCCTCATTTTCGAGCTTTATATCCCCATTAGTTAACTGCGTAGTGGATCCGGTAGTTGGTTCACTTGTTAACCCTAATTTTACTTCGCCATTAGGCAAGCCATTTATTTTACCGTTTGGTAGATTTTCCAAGTTCTCTTTATCTGCCTCTAGATCGTTTACTTCCTTTTTTACACTTTTCGCGATACATGTCTTTAAATTCTGTTCTTTTTCAATTTTATTGTAATGCTGAGTAAGGAAAGTACGTAAATCTTTTTTATTTTTCGGTGCATTAAGAAGTAAATGTGAATTTTTCGGCGGATTCTTTAAACAGTGGTCGTTACATTCTGTAGGATGCTCAATAAATATTCCGGCTATTGATTCCAGAACATAATATTTGCGGTATGCTCTATCTGAACCTAAAATGAGTTGCATAATGTTAAGTAAAAGCCTATAACTTATTGGAAATAATATTTTTACCTAAATATACCATAAAATTAAAAATACTACTGTATTCATTGGATAGCTCAATGTCAAATTTTTGCTTTTCCTTTAAGGCTTTAGCGTCAATTGATTCAATTTGTTTGTGTAGCTCTTCTTGTTTGGTCTGCTTTTGAGCTTGAAATTCAAGATTATCCTTTTGTTCAAAGCATTCTAATTGAAATTGCTGCTGTAGTTTCTTTTTTTCAGATGTTATATTGCTTAACCGCTTGTTTTCGTTTGCCAATAACAAACGAATTTTAGAACGTGCTTTAACAATATTTTCCATTCTCTCATCAATAACATTTAATGTGCTTGAATACGTCATAATTTGAGAGATTAAACAATTGACAATTTTCAATATATCAGATATTGGCAATTGATAAACTGTATAATATCTCAAAGCTCTCAATATATGTGGTTGAGACATTCGTAGGTCTAAACCAGGATCTTCCATAATGCTGTAGCCATTCCTATACATAAAACGCCACCGTTCTGCTTTTTCGTCAATACCAGCTCCACTTGCTAGTAAATGTAAACGAAGAACTTCACTCAAAGTTTGCGAATCTACAGGTAAATCATTTAGTTTTTGCTGAAATGCTTTTTTCACATAAAAATGGGTTTCTGTAGCATTTCGTATAGAAATAAATGGCTCATTCTCTAAATTATTTTTCGGTTTTTGATATTCTACACTTTGTTCTTCTTCTTCTTCACCTTGAAGTGAAAAAATTGAACCAAGTAAACAAATAAGTATATCAGAAAGTGGTCCAGCCACTTCCCTGCATGTAAATGCTCTTGTAATTTCATGAAATGTTATATGCGGTTTAAAAGCCTCTGTTAATGTTAGTATTCCTACGTAAGAATGCAAAAATTCCTTACAATATAATAAATCACCAAAATACTTTATAGGTACTAGGGAGTGTATTGGACGATATTTTGGCATCAATTTTTGATCTTCGCGCTCCAAGTCGTCTCCGCGTACCATAATCCTTCAATAATGGAATTAATTCAATATATAAAATTAAAAGTAATTTTACTTTACAAACCTGTTGACCTCCGATTCAACTTTAGCTAACAATTCCATTCGTTTACGTTCGATTTCAGCTGCTTTTTCTTCCTTCTCCTTACGAAGTCTTTCCATTTGTTCCTTTAAAGATTGCTCTTTTTTAAGCTTTTCTTCTGGATCAATTTCATCTGATTTAACAACATATTTTGAAATTGAGGATTGCTTTTTATCTTTTAACCCATTTTCATCATCTTTCTTTAACTTTTCACTTTTTTTTATCGACGGTTCTTTTTTGGGTTTTGCTGGTATCCATTCTGGTAAGCTACCAACAAATAATTTGGACCAGTTAACATTTTTATCTGTAACATATTTTTTAAAATGCTCAGGTTTTGGTTTAATAATTCCTTGAACACGATGTACACTATCTTTAATGAACAATTGTAAATTTCCTTGAGAAAAATCACTACGATTACGGCGAATATTCTGTGGTGGTACTGCAAATATAGCATCCAATTGTGTACCAGTTGTTTTTTGTAACTTATATGTAACTTTGTTAGGGTCTATTACTTGATTATCCTGAGCATCATTTGGTTTAATTATATCAATAACTCGACATTCATGATACGTGTTCGCTGAAGTCGATATACTTGCTTGAATAAGTTCCCCACGGAAAAATCGATCTCGTAAAAGGTTATAAACAATATTGTTGATTTCCTTAAAACTAGATTGTGAAGCTCGTGCAATTGCAATTAATGTTGGGGCACGTAGTATATCTTTAAAAGTCTCAATTTTTTTACGTGCTTTTTTTTCGCTATAAAGGGCTTCAGCGTATGTTAAATTTTCCTTACCGGTTTCTTCACATTGCCATATTGTAGAGTTTATAAGCATTACATGACGAAAGTAATCCCTAAAATTATTGAAAGAATAAGTTTTTGAAACTTTACATACTTGAAATTTTTTTAAAAACTTTAAAATTCTATTTAAAATTTGAGAAGAAAAATAATTTAGAATAAAGTTCAAAATCTTTAAATATATTATAATTAACGATAAATTCTTGCAAAAAAACTGAATAAGTAACAAATATTTCTTAAGAATAAGAAGGTACTTAATTATCGTATATGTTTTTTTTAGTCAGTATTAATTTCACGATATTTGAAAACCTTGCTGCCTAATTATATTTTTTACAAAATGCTAGGAAAGGTTACTAAAGCTAACCTATAATAAAGTAAAAATATGAAAGCTTAATGTTTTTAAATTATAATTCAAGCAAGAATTTTGTGTAGTAAAATTTGTGATTTTTGTAATTATTTTTTGTTTTAATTGATATAAATTAAAATTTCTTGAAATAACTTTTGTGTAACAATGATATGTAATAGTAATTTTAAATATATTTATACCATCAAAGTAGAAAAGGTAAAGAAAATTAATTATGTTGAGCAAAATTTACAAAAATCAAAATTCTTAATTAGACATTTAATGATTCCTTAATAACTAGCTTTATTTTCCTTTTATTTGACTGTACAGTTCGCAATACTCCAAAAACACATTTTGTTCAATAAGAGAAAAAATAAAAATAACAAAAAATCAAGGTAGAAGAAACATAATTCTCATTGAAAAATATAAAACAGCCGTATTGTGCCTTGTCCTAACTGTTACATGGGGTGCTATTAAATGTTGCGCGTTTAAATACTTTTCTTGTAATATGCCTCATACATTTTTTTTTCTCTATCCCCATGGAAAATTCATCGACTTTAACATTCTTCCACAATTTTTTTTTTTTTTTTTAAATCTTGAACACATTTTGTATTTATATTATTAATATTAGTTTTGTGTTTTATAAAAAAAAAAAAAAAACTTACTCATATTCTCTAAAAATTTGTTTGGTGGTTTCGCAATAGAATACCAATTCATTGTCATTAAATATTTCATTTGGATTTTTTGGTGAGGTTTCAAAACCTTCTCGCGTACAAATTGGCATTTTTTGGTTTTTAAATTATTTTTTTTTTAATTTAATTTACAAATAAATTTTCTAAATTTTATATTTATCATATAAAGCGTTACTGATGCTTATAAATTTGATTATTTAACTTTACAAAGCTGAATTTATAATACAAGTTCAATAATTTTTTGGAGGGAACAAACACTTAAAAAAAAACCAGGCCAAAGCTTTAAAATATGATTTTTATTCTTTTCACAGAGTTTCCAACTGAGGAAAAATGTTTTTTTTATATTTTCTGTAGAAGTATTTACTATTTAAAAATATTTTTATTTGTTTTGATTAAATTGTTTTTCATTATTTTATTAAAAAGAAAAACTAAAACTTGAAAAATAGACCGCCACTCGTCTTTTGAGTCTTTTTTTTTTTTTGACTTTATTAGCTGTCGTTTGGCTTTGACAAATTGGAATACAAAATTTGAGTTGCTATCGTTAATCTAATTTGCATTATTTCGAAATTGTATGATCTTAATGTCATGCAGTTATACAGCAATATGGTATTAGATCCGTCATCATTCAACAACTCCCAAAATTGAATTTTATTTTTAAAAGAAGAAATATGAAAAGAGTTTGAAATTTCGATAAGCAAAGGCGAAGCTATCCTTAAATATTTTTTTTTCATTTTATTTACATATGCAAATATAACATAGTTTTTTAATTTATTTTTTAATATGAAATTACAGTAACCAATAAAATAAGTACTTTAATTCTTATAGCTCCGTTCCGTTATGGAAATTTTAGTAATTGCGTATGTTGGACTATTCTTTTGTTTTTAACATTGACGGTGACTTCCCACAAGAATAGCACTCAGCCATTTAATTTTAATGGACTGAATGGTATTTTTGTGGGAATTGACCGTCGATCTAATTATCACAACTTCCGTAAAGGAACCGAGCTATAAGAATAAGAACACTTATTGGTTGTTATAATTACAAATTAAAATATAAATTAAAAAACTATAACATATTTGCATAGGTAAAATAAGAAAACATTATTTAATGATAGTTTTGTCTTTCCTTTTCGAATTTCTCTCATATTTTTCGAAATTTCGATTGACGGTGACTTCTCACAAAAATAGCACTGAGCCATTAATTATATTAGGCGCTGAATGGTATTTTTGTGGGAAGTGCCCATCAACCCGATTGACGATAGCTTTCCACAAAAATAGCACTCAGCCATTTAATTTTAATGGGCTGAATGGTATTTTTGTGACTACGAAAAAAATAGTCAAAATAAAAATGAGCAAATCCAAATTACCACAAAAAATTAATTATCGTCATTTTTCTTTTTTAAATGTGATAGAAAATCTGATGAGAATAGAGTAAGTTCTGTTATTTTTCAAATAAAGGTGCTCAGTGTCCGGACGTTTGGATAATATTTCTAAGCAATCAAGATGCTTCATTTTATTATCAAATTGCAAAACTGAAACGACTTTACAGTAAGTTCATCCACTTTTCTAAATTAAACAAAAATTAACTTTAAAGACTGGATGAAAAAAAATTTTAACCTAAAAATGTGGATGAAGGCTGAACCCGAAACTCACATATGTTAGGTACTTACTACATACTTCGTTAAGTTATTTTTTATTTATTTATGAATTGATTTAAAACTTTCATTTATTTGATTTAGATATCAAATGTCAGTCCTTCGGTACATAAGAGTAAATCGATTGTTTTTTTGGTATGTAGTTGAAGCATTGATTTTACTGTAAAAATTATTTTGGAACGCACTGTAAGGTTGTATATATACGACTTTCATCTGACTCAGTTTAAATCTTGAATTTTATCGTATATGTGAACAGTAACTTAGAACTCTAATCGTCATTATTAGTTACTGCGTTATTACAGTAATTTTTTTTTAATAACATACTGTAATATTACCGAAATTATCGCTGCGCTTTTAACCGACGGCGATAAAAAAAACCCAAAATCCTAATTTACCGCTGCCAGGTTTTTTGACATTATTTCTTTCAATGAATGTGTGACATTATATGCAAAATACTGTACTGTTGCGGTTTCCATTAAGCTTGTTCTAGCTTGATAATGGAAATCATCCACCGTTAAAAATCACCAATGAAATAGGAATTTCGAGTATTTTACCGCTGGCAGTTGAATTCGCTAAGATAATTTCGCTTGATTTTGGGTAATCCCATTATAGTATGTTCATTCTGTGTAAATTTTGACGCTGAAAATCACTTTTGTTTTTAACTTAAGTGTGGAACTTGCCATTTAGAATGCTGTAATAACTGCAGTGAAAAATTTATGAAAATAAATCGATAAAAATCGACTTGCACATCAGAATTTTAAATATCGTCAAAAGCTCATAATATATATCGATATTTCGATATTTCAATATTTTAATCTCCATCAGGAGGAATTCAAAACAAAAACTTGCAAAATTTTGGCGGCGTTATTTGTTAAATTGTTTTTCTTTAATTTGTGATATAGTTATCAATTTATTCTAATTGATTTTAACACCTTTAAAAATGGATGATACTTGTAAGTATAATTTTTTTTTATGCTGACTTAAATTTATATTTATTATATACCTAATTTCACAACCAAGTCGGAGGGGATAATTTTAATTCCACCGCTGGTCCCAGCGCCGAAGCAACATCTGAAAAGAAAGCTGAGGTAAGGTATGATTTTTACTTGTTAAGCGTGGATAAAATTTTGAATACTCTTTTAAGGGGGTATGCCCTGTTTTTATAAAACAAATTCTTCAAGCCGGGGAAGGTAATTTTGAAATGTTCGGAATGGCTTTTGCAATGGTAACAACAGTAGCAATCGTTAGAAACATTGAAACCTCTTCTACAAAAATTACTTATACCTTAGAGGATCACAGTGGTAGGATTGATGCCCACTACTGGCTAGAAGACGGTGACACCATCAAATCACCAGATGTCATGGTGAATAATTACGCCAGAGTCTTTGCATCAATTAGACAGCATAGCGGAACAAAAACTCTCATGGTTTTCAAATTAGTAACCGTAAACGACATAAACGAATTAACAAACCACATGCTTGAAGTTCTAAATGCTCGATATAAAACAGAAGAATTTTCAAAGGTTTTGTTATTCTTTTTTCAATAAGATCAAATAATCAATACGAAATTTTTTGTCCTTTTATTTAGAAAGGGTACAATGATAACACTAATGAATTCAATGGAGGAGCGCTAAACAATGCAAATGCATTTGGTAGTGAAGCAAATAACGGATTAGATAGCAAACATTCAGCAGTACTTGATGTAATTAGAAACTACACAGATGCAGATGGTATTAGTAGAAATGAGCTTGAAAAGAGATTTAGGCATGTCAATAAGAATGAAATAACGTAAGAATTTTAAAAATTTCTGATAATACAGAACATTACAAATTTTTCGACTTTTTATATAAAATATATTGATTTCAGATCGATGCTGGATTTTATGATCAACGAAGGTCACATATACACTACAATTGATGCCGATCATTTTCAAGCAGTTTAATTATTACTATTTGTTTTAAAATCTGTTTATTCTTAAAAATAATTTGAATATAATTGTTTTAAATTTTCAATCGCATTTGTTTTTTTACCTGCCGATCATGTGGTTTGAAGTGTGCATTAAAATGGTGATGTACGATGATACGATTGATAGTACACCAAATTTACATTTAAACTTGGAATACCTAGTTACATGTACATACATATACATTTCAAACTAGAAAGTAAAAGTTGCTTTCTATATAATTCTTTAGAAACTTTCTTGAAGAAATAAACTGAACATAGTAAGATATAATTTTATAAGTCGCGTTATATCATAGTTTTAGAGATTCGCATTACATGCTTAAAAACTTGGATGTACTTGCATATACGCTAGCACATTCTTTTTCAAAAAAGATATAAGATGAAATTTACTTTTTTTTAATTAAAAGATTTTCAGTTTATACCACTAAAATTACATTTATTTAAGTGGGAACAATTTAATGATCTAATTTTGTAGCCATAAATACATATATCAAACTATATATTTTAATGATGATGTTCGGCCTCTTCCTTACGTTTTGACTCAGCCCAGTTTCTAACATTTGCTGGTGAATTTGCTGTAAACAAAAAAAATGTTATTTTAAAATGTTTTAAGACTTTAAGATTTTTTACCTAGCTTGTGAATTTTATAGAAAATTGGTAGACAAGCCACAACTGAGATGAAATAATATTTCCAGATCCATTGATTATTAATGTAATGTTTAATTGGAAATTGCGCTATCTTGGCAGAAAAAGTGTAAGGGAATTTCATAGGGCGACCAACAGGAGCGTCAGACATTTTTATATGTAATTTGTTACTGCTTTTCTATTAAATGAAATTTTATTTTAATATTCACAATTATGTAACTTTTTTTCTAACTTACGAAAAATGTCAGCAAGATCGGGAAATAATTATACTTCTGGCTAATGTATGGTATGTCAATGTGAGATGACAGCAAATGACATTATTAAAATTATAATGGTTGTCAGCCTGACCGTTGACTTAGGTGCTAACAAATATTATTGTGCCAGATGTTAACACTAAATATACGGCCATGAAGGTGCATTCCAAAAAAAAAATTTAGTGCGTACTCCTATTTTGTTTGTAGCAAATGAAAATTTGATTAAAGTCTTTTACCATTTTTTTAAAACATAAATTTCTAAATTTGTTTTTAACGTTTTAAGTGTGTGGAATAATAAGTGGAATTTCATCACTTCTACTAGTAAGCAAAATCAAACAAGATTAAGGAGACCCGTAGAAAGTTTAATTTCTTACTGCTAAACTAGTAATGTAAAGAATAATATCAACATAACTTAATATTGTGTTTTGTACATTTAATGGTGTTTTTAACATTTTGCTGTAAAGAAAATGCTGCATATTAGAATCGAACGAAATTAAGTATGTTAAATTAAATTATTTCATAATCACGGTATTATAATAATTTACAATATATTTTATTTTTATAAATCTTTCAAATAAATTTTTGTAATTATACTATTCTTATTCTCGATATTTATATGATCATAATATTGATTAACTAGCGTGCTAAAATGATTAATGAAATATGAAATTTTCCTATTAAATGTAATGAAGATTTGAAATTATGTTTTATACTAATAGTCATATCATATGGTTCTTCCATATAAATTTTCTTATCTAAAATGATACATACCACATGCATAACGTCAAATTTGATTTGTATACAAAATTTTATTTTCATTGACGCCACCGTATAATTTTTTGGCGCTAGTATTGATAGACGCAAAATGGCGAATGAGCAAAAAATTTTGTTGGCGACACAACCAGAAAAACCGAATCATTATACGTAAGTATCAAATTATTTCTAATAAAATCGATAAAAATTAAGTAATTTAAAAAATTTCCTTTCGTTTCATATATAAATTATATGGATTTAATGTAGTTATTTAAAAGAATTTCGAGTGGAACAGTGTCAATCATTTTTGCAGCACAAATGCAATCAGCATCGTCCGTTCATTTGTTTTAATTGGCATTTTATGAATCAGAGACGTCGTCGTCCTGTGCGAAAACGCGATGGAACATTTAATTATAGTGCTGATAATTATTGTACGAAATATGATGAAACTACGGGAATATGCCCAGATGGAGATGAGTAAGTTCATATAATTTTTATAAGAAATTATTTCAAAATAGTCACAAAGGCTACAAAGTTAAATAGAAGATAAAAAAAAGCAAAAAAAAAAAAGAAAAAATTGTTTAAGGGATTCCAATTTGTAAAGCATTTTTTTTTACTTATACAATATCTCCTTCTCGTTCTAAATCTACGTTCTTTTTTTTTCTTTCATTATTTTCTTATTTTTCGTTTTGCTGTTGCGCATACAAGTGCACGTAAATAGAAAATAAAAACATTGAAATAATAGATTTTAATAGAAAAGAATGTGTTTGTGTGACTAAATATATACGCACTAGTGTATAAAGTAGTATATGTATATGTTTTGTTTATCGCGGCATTTGCAAATGGTTAAGTGTTGATTGAGAAATTGCTGTTGTATTGTGTCAGAAGATGTAATAGTGTGAGTTTTTAGTGTTCTGGACTGTTACCGAAATTCTTGATATTTTCATTATTTGATAATTAGAAGGAAGCGTAATATTTTTTATTTTTATTAAATTGATATGCTTTATTTATGTTTTTTGTTTTTAATACAATTTTAATTGCCGATATTTTGATTGGCAATTTTTTGCTTTGATTATGGATACTTAATTATCTATGTACACACTATGTCTTCAAACATTTTCAAATTTAGGTGGCAAATTAATAACCCTTAAAAGAATTGATGCATAAACCGGATATGCTTTTATAATCAAATTCTTTTTTTTGAAATTTTAATTTATTAAGCATATATTGTGTGTCGTCAAATATTTATAATGATCTGTAGGTGGATAAGTCAAAGCTCTTAATATTATTATTTACAAATGTTACTACATACATATGTGCATATATATTTATTCAATTTTTGAAATATGTCCATACATATATACATACATAATTTGAAATAGGCATCCACTTTTCTACATATTTGTTTTTGTAATAAACATAACCTGTTAATCTTCTGTTTGTGTGTATATTAAAACAAATTTAACATTTATATGTATAATATGAATTTTATAATCTCTTACGAAAAATAAATTCATATAAATAAGTATGTGATATGCACAATGGTATCTAATGTTGAGTCTTTTTGATATGCAGTGGCGTTTGCATCTCAAACTTAGAACTTAATAAATTTGAGAGATGCAAAAATATCTACTGCAAAAAAACTCATAATTGCAACTTGCAGAAAATAAAGTTTTTCAGTTGAAGAAATGTTAGATTAGGTTTCGTTTCGTATTTCGTTGCTTACAAAAAGTACCGAAAACCCTTTTCCCAAAAAAAAAATTGGCTTATTGGTTTTACTCTAACTGATGTCCATTCGTAGACCGGTTTACAAAACTTCTATACCTTTTTAAACAGCGGAAATATTACACATACATAAATAGATCCTTACTTGAAAATTACTTCGAAGAAGAAAATTTTTACATATTAACTCATGTAAAAGTTCTAAACCCACAAAATCCTAAAAATGGCATTTTTTGTTTTTTTATTGTAACGAAACTAAGAAAATTTCTTTAACTCTGCAAACGCAGAAAAGCGGCTGGCTTTTTCCATCGCGTTATAGCGTAGTTAAGAATGAAAAAGACCAAATGGCAGTTGAAATTAACTGTTATCGTGACCTTTTTTTTTTTTTTTAATTTTTGATGTCGCTCTTATTCTAGCCTCTAGCCAATAAGTTGTAGAGGCCTGTATTTTTAGTTTCTTTAAGATACTTATGAATATAAAGTTTATTGAATTGGAAGAAATTTTTTTTTTACCTTCATCCCCTCTCCAGTTATGACTGCCCAAAACTAGAAAAATTTGTATGAAGAAGAAGATGCAATTAACACTTAAACTCACTTAAAACAACTAAACAATTAATAAATATTTAGAGCTAAATTTTTAAAATATTTATTGTGCAGGTACATCTAAATCAGTAACAGATGGTTAATAGGTACTTATGTATATAGTTTTATTGTTAATATTAAAGATTATGAGGTTTAAAATTTATTAATAACTAATCTCTTCAAAGAAAATATTTAGTGAAAGTAGACTAATGTACACTAGATAAGTACCGAATTGATGTTCAATTTTGTATCACAAAATTTCCTACTTATTTTAAAACAACATAAGTAAAGGGGAAGGTAGAGAAATATGTACTCAGGAGGTTGGAGTATTTCTGAAAATACACTCACCGTAGATGAAAATGTTCTACGTGTATTAATAATATAGAATTGTCCCTAATTAAGTAGAAATTTAGTCTTAATAAATTATAAATTCTTTATAAACAGAATGCCATAGTTGTTGCGCCTTACTACATTTGGATAAGGTCGACGGAAATGCTTTTTACTTTTGAAGAAAGGATTTATTTTAGGATTTCGATATTAACATAGTTCTAAAATAATTCAGTAATTATTAGTATTATTAATTTCACGATTCATATTTTGTTTACAATATGCCGGTATACATAAGTATGTATGTATGTATATTATGTTCATGTTATAAATTTAACTAAATAAGTTAGTTATACAATAATGAAAAAATATTGCGTAAAATCAGACGAAAAAATTTTTTGAATATTAATTAGCACTAATTTCAACCATTTTAGTAAAGTCAAAAAAAAAAGAATGATGTCAAACAAAACCTATACATACAATTTTCCTCCATAAACTAGAAAAAGACATAAAAAAAGCTCTTCACTTTAGATAAACTTAACGAAATTTGTAATCATGGATTTTTTTATTCTTAATTTGTGCTATAATTCAGATTTTAAACTTAGTATCTACTTACAATGATGTTATGAAATAATAAAAATAAATTGAGTGATTTTCTTATCACATCACTATGCATGCATGTACCTACATACATATGTACATAATAATAAATTCCAATTTTTATATTCTACCAAAATTTGGTTAATACGCACATGCACATTCATCAATTAATGTCCTAAAGTCGATAGAAGTGTAAAAAGCATTAATTTTTTTTTCAAATAGTAAGGGGCACGATCTTACATTACATTATTTTACTCGTCAGGTGAGAAGAAAGTCAATGACTATCATATTTGTATTATGTAATTTTCGAGTGAGAAGAATTTTGTATTGCATATCTCAATTTTTCTACGAGTAATATATGAATAAGAGTTAGTCATTATTCGTTCACTTTGCTTTCGAAAATGATAGGTTCCGTTGGTATTTTTAGAAATAGCGCGAAAATTCAATTGAAAAATTGAGTTAATTAATGTTGCAAAAATGAGAATAACATATTTAGTGAAAAAATTTAAAATTTTGATTTGAAAGTGAATAAAAATAACTTAACTTACACAAAATGTGACTTTAGACTAAGGAAATTTTTTGCACTGCTATATCCTTTTTGTGACTTCCGATTTTTTCTTCTTTAATGAATCAGTGAATATTTTGAAAGAAAATCAATGTATTTGACTTAACGTATCCTTTAAAAATATTGAAAGAAAAAAGAATCTTTATTTTTCGTTTCGGTATAATTGTTCCGAGAAATTTCGAGATAAAAATTTAGCCATTTTTAGTTCATTTCAATCTTTTCTTTAATCCTGAAATTGTGACTGTTCTTTTTTCAAAATTTTTTTAAAACGTTAGAGGGTAAGAAAATTGAAAACAAATTTGATACCAAATGCAACAAAACATTTGGTTTTAAGGAGCATTTTGTTCAACGGTATTGAATGAAAAAAATATTTTATTTTCAAAACATAACAGTGAACGAAATTAATAAATTCATTCATTATAAAATTAAAAAAAAAAAACATACATATGTATGTATGTAAGTTCAATGTCGCTTTTTTGCCAAAACTTTTTCAAAAATAATAAGTGATTTTGTTATGGATGGTCATCTGTTACCGTTTTCTGTCGGCTTTTTATGCGGCTAACATTAAATTTTTGATTTTGTGTTTCTTCTATAGACTAAATGTTATGATGTCATAAAAACTATATTTTTTTTACCTTAACTTCCATATTTAATCCCCGAATTCATCTATAAATCTCATCCTAAGTGTATGCAATAATTTGAAATATTTTTGTAAAAAACACATTTTGCACTTGTTAAAGAGGTAAATGTCACGATACACAAAATATTAATTTAATACGAATTTGTTTAGGGTAATTTATTAGCTAAATTTTCTTTAGAAAAATTACTTTGCTTGGGAAATGCGGAGGGTGTCAAATATAAAGTAAAAATCACCTAAAGTTAAGAGATTTTAAACCGTAAATGTTTTGGACTACGGTAAATTGCAAGCAGTATTAAACATGTTCTTACCTACAGGTTGTACATAATATGTAATCTAGATGTTATTTTGCTAAAGTTATATCTATGTATATATAACTTATTAGCAAAATAACATCATGCCATTCCAAAAATTTGCAAACTTTCAAATTGAGTGCGAAAACTATTGTACTTCAAATTAAAGTCCTATCCGTATTATAAAAATCTTTAACAAAAATAATTAAAAAATTTTAGATGAGATCTACATACATACATATGAACACATGAAGTTTAAGGAAAATATTTTTCGCTAACAATATTGTAGAGCATAATATTACCTGCAACTGCAAAAGTAAAAAATTAGAAGAGAAAATGAAAAATTAATGTCCGATTGTCGTCATTTGCAAAATTTTACATTCGTATACATACATACATACATACATGCATAGAAAGATGAAGAAAATATTTAGGATCTGTGAAGTTTGCTTTTTTTTTTTCTTTTTATATTTTATAGATTTTTCTTTTGTTTTTCGAGTTCACTGAATTGTAAAATTTGTTGACTGATTTTGTTTTCATATTTCATTTACATATTTATTTCTGCAATTACCAAAACATTTACATATGTATATACATATGTATATTTAAGCAATTTATTTTATATATGTATGTACACAAATATATAATAATTATAAATATTAAATCTACCTATACAGTTTTCATTTAATATTTTTACAAAATTAAATTACATTTTCGCGCAATTTTTGTTTTATTGTTTGTTCTCTCAACTTTAGAACGCCATTTTTTTTTCTCCCAAGTAACTTCTCAAGTTCACAACAAAAAAAAAGAAACCTGTCTATTTTAATTTTACAATAATAAAAATTTATTTAATTGGGCATGTGGTTGTGTGTAAACAACATATGTACGTAAAATAACGAAAGATACAATTGAAAAACTTTATTTTTATTAAAATTTATTTATATAATTTAATTATATAGGCATACTTATGTACATATATAATAAAATAATAATAATAAAAGCGATAGCGATGATGTTCAAACACATGTAAATGCAAAGAAGAATTTATAAATTATTTAATATTTACAAGTGCGTAAAATGTGGAAGGCTAGCATGGTGTTGTTGACAATTGGAAAGTGTTTTGTATGTGTGTGTTTAATATATTAAGTACATATGTACATTATATGCATACATATTTAAATTAAAAATAATTTTATAGATGAAAGCTACATGTATTATGTAGTAACTAGTAAATATAAATACGAATTTGTTATGTTTAAATTGGAGGAGTTCAATGTAATGAGTAATGACTAATAAATATTAATTTCACATTTTCAAAAGATAAAGTAATTAAGTTACATTAAGAAAAACAAAGCCCACTATTAAAATACTTTTTCTTAATTTTCTTTGACTATCTCCAGCCCCCCTGCTCTTAAGTGTCTTAATTAATCATTTAATTTATTTGTTTATGTATTTTAAAATTAAAAGTTTTTCCAACATTTATACATACATACATAGATTTATTTGTACCCCCATTCATATGTACGCGCATATATACATATGTATGTATTTCTAGCCCAATTAATTATTAAAGTTGAGGATATTTCAAATAATTTTAATTATTTTTGAGCAAAACCTATGTATCTTGTATATATCTTGTTATTTAAATTCGAAACTTATTTCTGGTGTCTAGTAGGAAATTCCTTAAAATTCCATTGACAAAATATTTTTTGTGGCAGTTTACTTTAAGTCATGTAGATATGTACGTATTTATGTACATTATGTATATACAGGGGAGTCGCGATATAGTGACCATCCAGTAAAGTGACCTCCCAATATAGTGACCCAACCATTTGAATTTTGCGTATTCTAAATAGTGACCCAAAACAATTTTGTAACTCTAAATAGTGACCCTAAAAAATATTTTTTGTAAATCAACCACATGTTTTTTTCCTTATTGTAAAACCGTTACAATTGGAGTTGTTTTTTTTTTGTTTTGCTTTCTATATTTGCATTTCTGTACATTGCTTTACATTTTTTGTCAGTAATTTGGAAGTGTTAAAACAATAATATCGTAGTCTTTCAATTTCCTAATAAGTAAAAATGACTGGAAATATTAGAAAATTTTTAACTCTAAAAGAAAAATTAGAAATTCTAGATGAATTAAAAAAAGGAGTCTGCAGTTCAGTTTTAGCAAAGAAGTATGGTATTGCAAAGTCTACAATTTTCTCTATAAAAAAACAGAGTCAAAAACTTAGTTCTACTAATGCTAATTCATTTGGTGGCCTAGGTAAGTAGAAAAACATACATTAATTTATAATTAGTGTATATTTCTGTGTAAAAATGACTTTTTTACCTGTATAGGTAAACGAAAAACAATGCGCACTGGTGAATTCTTTAAGCTAGAAAAAATGTTGTATGAATGGTTTTTAGAAGGCAGAAAAAAAAATATACCGATTGATGGTACCATTTTAAAGAACAAAGCTAAATACTTTTACAAAAAAATATATAAAAAAGATGACTTTTCTGCTAGTTCTGGTTGGCTCCAAAAATTCAAAAAAAGACACGGAATTCGATTTATAAAAATTTGTGGTGAAAAGTTGTCTTCTCAAAAAGAACTTGTAGATCCTTTTTTAATCAAATTAGCAGAAAAAATAAAGCAGCTTAATCCAGCGCCGGATCAAATCTACAACGCGGATGAAACAGGCTTATATTGGAAACTGATTCCGGATAAAACTTACGTTTCAAACAAAGAAAAAAATGCGCCTGGCCGAAAAGTTTGTAAACAACGTTTGACATTTTTAGCGTGCACGAATGCGTCTGGTGATCATAAAATAAGACCTCTTGTTATTGGAAAGTCAAAAAATCCACGTTGCCTGAAAAATAAACACATTCCTGTAGATTATGATTCTTCAAAATCAGCTTGGATGACTTGCTCAATTTTCAAAACATGGTTCGACACAAAATTTATTCCTCAAGTGAGATGCTACCTTGAACAAAAAGGTCTTCGTAAAACAGCTCTTCTTTTGCTTGACAATGCTCCAAGTCATCCACCTGAAAATGAACTCATAAGTGATGATGGTCAAATCATTACAATGTTTATGCCGCCTAATGTTACTGCCCTAATCCAACCTATGGACCAAAACTGTATTAGAATCACAAAATTGAAATACAGAAATCTACTTCTGTCCCACATAATCGCAAATAAGGCTGAAGATTTAGAATTTATATTGAAAAAATTTAACCTTCGTAATGCTGTTACAAACTTATCGAAAGTTTGGGAAAGTTTAGAACCTGTAATGATAGCTAAGTGTTGGAAAAAAATTCTTTCTACTTCTTTCGATAATGAATATGATTCTGAAGATGAAATCCCATTAATAAATTTAAAATCCCAAATGTTTTCAGATCAGGAAATGAACATTACAAAATCATTATTTCAGAAGATTTGTCCAAATGCCAACTTATCATCAAAAGATATTTATACGTGGAATGAAGATGTAAACTTAGATGATGAAACTCCTGCTGTTGAAATTGAATCTGATGATACTGACGTATCTGAAGAGGTAGTAGAAGTTCAAACTAAAATGAGTCATTCTGATGGAATCAAAGCCATCAACGACTGTTTGAAATACGCATTAGAAAATCGTGCAACAAACGAAGAAATTTCCGTTTTGAAAAATATTCGAGAAAGAGCTGTTTTGGAGCAAAGTAAGCAAACATTTAAAGAATGCAAGATTACAGATTTTTTCAAATGAATGCGTCAAAACCAGAACTCTTTCAAATAAATGTAAAAAGTTATTTAAATTCCTAACTTATATTTTCAGATTCTTTGTTAATTTTTAGTTTTGTTTTATGTATTTGTTTTGAACTGAATGGATGTTATTACTTTTATTTTATAATTTTTATTTTTAAATAAAATTAAATATGCGTACTTTATTAAAAATAAGAGTTTTAAAATTATTTTTCTGAAACAAATGTAACCTTTACTGATGAAGAATAAATTATAATATTGATTGAAGAAAAAAAAACACTAGTCTCGGAATAGTAGACTCCTCGTAACAATGACCACCCTGAACATTTAATTGGTCACTATATCGCGACTCTACTGTATGTTGTATGTACACTGTTTTTTATTTTGTAAGAATTTGTAAGAGTAATAATGGCCTTATTTGTGTTTACATTTATACATACATACATACATACTATATTGAAAATAAAAATCATTTAAATCACTTTACTCGTAGGTCATTTTTAATAGGTTCAATTATTTGTAGACTCTGGTAGCTTTTGGCATATGTACATAAATATGTACATATGTATATATATATGCATGTATATTTATTCTGGTGCGTTTCTTCTATTTTTGCGATTTATGTTTTCTTTTACATACGATTGCGTCTCCATATTATTTAACATAATATTAGGAGAGTACATAAATAGATAAATGTATACATACGTAGGTACATTATTAATTTATAAAAACTTTTACATAAATTTCATGCATATATACAACATATATATGTATGTATGTGCATACTCACGAATTATTTAAATTTCAATAAATTTTCAATGTCAACTGAAGGAAAAATTTTGTGGGTTCATTGCTTTTGTTATTTTTTTTTATCACTTTTTTTTTTTAGTGTGTATATTGTACATATGTAAGTATATACATACTTTCACAATTGTTTCATTAAAAATAACGAATTATGCCACAAAATTAAAAAATTTAAATTTGTGTATATGTACATACTATGTGTATTTTATTTGAATGTGAAAAATAGCTTATCTTAACCCTTAAAAACGTACATACATATGTACATATGTACATATGTTCACCGAGTTAATTAATTGTCCTGTTTTTATTCAACAGGTACCTACTTAGTATTTAAGTACCTATGTTGAATAAAAACAGAATTATTTTTATTAACAACATGCTTTTTCTTAAGTTTATTTAAATGTCTTTTCAATGATACTTGTTAAATACACGTTCAATATTGCAGTATAAACTGTAAATAAATAATAATAATTCTTTTTGAATAATATTTACTTATGCCATTTTTCTTATTCTGTCAGTTTTAGTTTCTTTAAGCAAAACCCAAGAAGTCATACATGTGCATTTTTGACTTGTATGGTTAAATATTTTATGAATTGATAAATTGGACGATATTTTAATTTGACTATGAAATGACGTTAGATTTCATAATGTCCTGAATATTTTTATCTATGTTCATTAATATTATTGTTTTATTTGTATATTATTCTCTTTTATTTTTAGTTGTCCATTCTTACATCGAACAGCTGGTGATACAGAACGCCGTTATCACTTAAGATATTATAAGACATGTATGTGCGTACATGATACTGACGCTAGAGGTTATTGTGTTAAAAATGGTCACCATTGTGCATTTGCACATGGTGTACACGATCAAAGACCACCTGTATATGATATCAAAGAATTAGAAGCATTACAAAATAGTGAAAATGCTGGTGACGGCACAGGCACTGCTGGAACTGGAGGTGTTGGTGGTGTTGTTACTGCACAAAATGCTTTAGATAAAGAGCGTAATTTAATGAATGAAGATCCAAAATGGCAGGATACAACCTATGTATTAGCAAATTATAAAACTGAACCGTGTAAAAGACCACCAAGATTATGCCGGCAAGGTTATGCATGTCCTCAATATCATAATAGTAAAGATAAGCGACGTAGTCCACGTAAACTAAAATATAGGTAAAAAATTTTATATTTAAAATATTCTTTTTAATAGTTAATTATAAATCATTTTCTCTGCATTTTAGATCAACGCCATGTCCAAATGTTAAACATGGTGAGGAATGGGGTGAACCAGCTAATTGTGAAGCTGGGGATAATTGTCAATATTGTCATACTAGAACAGAACAACAATTTCATCCAGAAATTTATAAATCTACTAAATGTAATGATGTTCAACAAGCTGGATATTGTCCACGTAGTGTGTTTTGTGCATTTGCGCATGTTGAACGTAAGTATTTGATTTAATAAAAGAAAGAGTAATAATACAATTAGCAAGAAAAATCAAAAACAATCATAAATTTTTGTTGAAACTTTGCGATATGTTATTTAATTAGCAGTATTTTATTATGAATACATTTTTCATTTTAATTCATTTCAATTTTTGTTAGCTAATTGGAAAAAAAGACGTGTTGTACAATTGCTTCATATTTTCTTTTTTCATAGTTTGTTTACAAAATTTTTCATTAACTTAAGATGTTTTCCTTTTGAAAAATGCATGATTGAGAAATTCGGTTGAGTATAAACTTCCTACATATCATATTACACCAAAACATCTTTAAAATTTGAAATTACTCTTTTTTCTATTCTGTCAACTTATAACATATTAATTGGCAAAAAAAGATCAATCGAAATTTTGAAATTAATTATCCATTAAATATCCAAATTTGAATGAATTTTACTAGTAATTGAAACATTTCAAAGAAATTACAAATTTACTAGTAATGAAATTCAAAACAAAATTTTTTGTTTAACGAAATCATTTTTGTAAAAAAGTCAGTTTTTCGAAAACTAATTTTTTTAGTAAATTTTCAATAAGCTAACATTTTTCATTCAAATTTTTAAAATCAATTGTTCTGTAATTTTTATTTTGCTATACTAAGCTTTTTCTTATTTGAATTTTTGTGACTTTGTTTTTCTATAATTTTATTAAAATCATATATAAAAATTATTTATTTTGAAAAATTCAAATTGTTTATGAATTTTAATTTAATTTTTCATATACATATACATATGAATATATATGTATGAAATGATTAAAAAAATAAAGAAATCAAGTTTTTTTTGCACTTTTCTTAGTTCAGTTGAAATTCAAGGTTCAGTGTCATATCAATATTAAAACTTAAAAATAATCATCAATAGATTGGTCTTGAATTAGGACTGAAAGTTATGCATTTTTTTTATTAATAAATATTCACATATATTATTAATAATAATGTACGATTGCATTGTTCTATTGCATTATCCCACTATCATTTTGTTGATCATTTTCGGAATTTTAAAGCTTCTTAATATTTTATTAATATTTTGTTGCATTCTTTTTATTATATTCTAATTATTTTTGTTTATTCAACCTATATTGCTAATTTTTTGTGCTTTAATATATATATATATATATGTACATTTATATATAATGTATAATTAATTAATAATTAATTAATACATATGTATGTATAAATGTATTTTTTGTACTTAACTAATTTAAATTACTTAACCAATATGTGATGCTATAAATTGAATTTCAACTCTTAGTTTCTATAGTAGATTGTTTTCTTCGTTTTTTAAAAATAATTTTTAATAACATTTGCAATAGTTTTTGTTTTTCTTTAACATTCATAAATTTGATTTATATGAAAAAAAAAATTCTCACCAAAAAACACATGCTATATAATAAATATATAAGACAATTGTATTAACCAAAAAATTGTATTTTTTTTCTTCTATTTTGCTCTCGGTTTAACATGTTCTACTTTCTTAATCGAATCAAAATTTTTTGATATTTTAACCACAAAAAATGAAAATTTTGAAAATTAAAACCAACCAAATAACACAAACAATACACAAAATATACTAATTCTTCCCTGGTATTTTGGTGGACAATTTGAATTTTGCAAAATTTTTAAAATATATATATATATATACATGAATATAAACGAAAACAAACAACAAAACGAACGAAAAAAATTATTTTATATATAAAACAAATATAAAACAACAATACGAAAAACAAAAAAAAAATATCATTAAAAAAAAATAACAATGAATAAAAAATTTATGAAACGAAATTCGAAAAACCAAAGCATATATTTTAACAGAAGAAAAGCCACGCGAGTTGGATGGACCTTCAACAAATTTAGCATTGAGCGATATTATTTCTAGTGCATTACCAGAAATTAATAAAAAAGAGACGACAAAAGTAAATAGTGAAAATGTAAGTTTTTATAAAAATTAATCTCAAATTCAAATTTCATATCATCATTTATTAATAAAAAAATTAATCCTTGGCATATTATTATCTTTGATTTAAAATTTTTTAACTAGGCTCATGCATTACAAAATGGTAATGGTGAAAGTTGTGAATCCGCTAGTACATCATCTATAGGCTCTAATCATTCACATAGTAAAGCACCAGGTGCACAATTACAACATCAAAAACAACAACAACAACAGCAACAACAGCAGCAACAACAACAAAATTCAATATTTTCAAGCAATAGTAATACAAATGGTACTTGCAATAATACGAATCCATCACAAATTAATAATTGTAACTCAATACCACAATTTCCAGATTTTGACATGGCGAAACAGGTGCTTAAATACAAATTGATTAGGTTCACTTCTTTTTATCATATTAATTGTTTTTTTTTTTTTATATTTAAGCTTATGGCCATGGAAAATGACAACATTATGAATTCGATAGAAAAAAATCAAACAAAATTTTTAAACTTTGGACTACCATTAGAAAGAATATGTAAGTCAATTAAGTTAAAACGTATCTATCAAGATTAAATTGTTCGATTCTATCTATTTATCTGTTGTTTAGGGTCTATTATACACTTGAACTAAATATTCTTTTTGATATATGTATGTTGAAAACACGAGAAATAGTAAGCACACTTTTTACTTTAACCAAATCTGTATTACAGAAATAATTTAAATAAAATGTCCTTTTAAAAATTTTTCAAAACTTTGTGATCTCTAATTTACATAAAATACTTTAATATAATTAGCTCAAGTGTTTTAATGGATAAAATTCGTTAATAAATTGAATTTTGATTCTTTATTATTAAGAGAACTTGAGTTTTTGTAACAATTTAAGTAAAACATACATATATGCTCATTATTTTTTTTTCAATTTATTACTATTTTTCTAAATATATCCAGAAAATGCGTTTTCAATAATTTTAATTGATTGTGCCACATAATTTTGAAACTTAAATTTTTATATTTGACATAATTTTCGTGAATTAAGTTTTATTAATTTCTAATTTTAACTGAAAAAGAAATTTTAGACTTGTGTAGTGTTTCAGAACTTTTGCAATGAAGACCCGATATAAAAGTGTATAATGGATTAGATTTAAAATACGATGTGAATTTTCTGTTTTTTTTAATTGTTTTATTCTCTATTGAATTAAATAATGTGTTTTTTGTTAAATATAAATATATGTATGTACATTCGTTAATATTTTATTCATAAATTTTTTTTGCTACAATTCAATACACTAACCAAATAACTAAATTTTAAAATGATGTTTTAAAATTTTTTATGTAAAAAAACTTTTGTATTAAGTTTGTTGCACAAGTCTTGATGCATTTTATAATTTAAAATAAAACCAGTCATAGTGGAATATTAATCGTTTTCTGTATACCTTTTTTACGATTGCTGAATATGATTAAATTGGGCTGTTTTGAAAATTGATTAACATAGCATTATTTAAGTCTTTCAAAGCATTATTGTTTTTAATTTTCGGATGCTGTGTTGATTTTCGGAGGGAATATAGTCCACAAGAAATACGTAAAATTAACGTTCAAGTATATTAATTTTTATCTCATAAAACTAACATTGGTTATTCGTAAATTCTGATTTAATATTTGTTTGGACATTCTTACAAACACATATATTAATGTGGTATTTCTGTTTTACACAAAATATTAAATTTAGTTTCAGTTACTAACGGATAAATATTTAAATTACCATAAGTTTTGTGTAGGTTTATAAATGATAGAATTTGTTTTCTTTTTTTTTGTTGGCGTAAATTTTGTTTTCATTTCTGTTAACGCATTCAATAAGGGTTAGCTTGGGTTTCTATTTGACTAAGCTCTTTTTTTTAAATTTAACTTTGCAAAACAAAAATACACAGTTATTTATTAAAAAATTTTAATTTTAAAAATAAAATTGCGTAAAAAAGCATCATGTTCTATAGACGAAATCGTACCAAATCAAAGGGATAATCCACTCTCTGCTGGGCTGGCATCAGGACTATTGCAACGCTCATCAGCACCAATTAACATTCCTAATTCACCATTAACTAATTCAATATCAGGTAAATTTAAAATTTACCTCTAAAATATTCTATATCTGTTTTATTTTTAATGTTTTTGTTAATATAACTACTTTTTTCTTTAGTTATTATTTGATATTTTGCTTTTGAAACTTGTTAAAAAAATCATATTTTAGGAATCATTGAACGACAAAAAAATAAATTATAATTCTTCTTTCCTTTTTTTGCAGTTAACATTCCTGGTCATGGCTCATTAGGAAATTATAGTCCAACAAATCATTCGAATTTATTTTCAGTAGCTGAAGTTTTTAGTGGTGGAATACAAAATTCAATTAGTGGTGGAAATTCTGCGTCAAAATTAAGTAACTCATTGTCAAATCAAGCTGATAGTTTATTTTTCCAATCACATATAATATCACCTGGCTTCGGTGATCCATTATCAATTAGCCCATCATTAAGGTAGATCTAAAAATATTAATTTAAGTAATATTGAATTTTAAATTTTTATCTTGTTATGTTATTGTAGAATATCTGATTTGAATATGAGAGACGATCTAACAAATAGCACTGTTGGTAATAATTTATTTGAAAATAGTCTACAAAGTAAACAATTTGCATTGCAATCTATCAATTCTAATCCATTATCATCGGAAATAAATCGACTGAAAGAAGAATTGAATAACAAAAATGCACAAATTATAAAACTATCATCATCTTGGAAATTAGACGTAGACGAATGTAATAGAAAGGTAATAGAAAATGATATATAGAATGTAATTAAATGTATAATTGAATGTTGTACAAAGTTTCAAATCTTTTCAAAAATTACCTCAAATATCGAATTGTTCTTTTCAGGCAACTTTAGCTGAAATGGCAAGGGATAAAGCTTCAAAAGAAGCTCAAGAATGGAAAGAGCGTTATGACTCAGCTCAAGCTCAGTTAAATATGACTAGAGATTTACGCAATTTATCAATACATAAATTAAAATTATTGCAGGTGAGTGTTTTCTCAAAATACATAATAACATGTTAAAAATTATGTATTTAATTCGTTAAGATTCTGTAAAAATTGTTAATTTGTGTAAATTTAGAATCTGAAGAGGCATTTTTTAATTAAATTTCTGTTATTTTGCAATTTTATTGTTAAACTGGAAACTTTCACCAATATTCTTTAAGATTCATCACTTAAAGTGTTGGAAAAATTTACATATAATTCGTAGCTTTCAAGATAAACGATTTTTGCATTGATAATATACACTATATTGAAGTATAATATTAAATATAATATTATTATATAAACTATGTTATAAGTATTGAGCATATTAAAAGTATGCATAGTAAAAGTAATATTCCATCACTTTAAGGAAGTAGTTTTTGAGAATTTCGTATTCATCTATTTCCTAAATGATAATCATGTGATTGTTTTCGACAGTTGACTGCGTTGGGGTTTAATTGAAGTTAGACTTTTATAAAAGTTACTAAAATGTCATAGTTTTCCGAAGCGAAAAACCTCAATTTTTTTTAATGTGTACAAATTTATTGTCATAAATTCGAAAAAAAAAATAATAATCTACATTTGGTATCACTTAACCACATCCAGTTAGTTTTCTTATAAATATAATTTAGATATAACTTAATTTCCAAAAATTTTTTTTTTAGTAAAATAAACTTAATTTAAATGCTTGTAAAAAATTATTTACTAATTCACTTTCTATGTTCTTTTAGACAAAATTACGTACAGACTTAGAAGAAGTTGAAAAAGTATTATATTCAGAAACAGCAACAAAATGTATGAAATGTGAAGAAAAAAATCGTTCAGTAACATTAGACCCATGTAATCACTATGTTTTATGTGAAACATGTGCACTGACAGTAACAGAATGCCCATATTGCCAAATGCAAGTTACGACAACAGCTTAAATATTGAACAAAATGCAAAAGATATTTAATCGAAATTATTTCATAAAGCAAGAAAAGTTTTTTAATTTAAATTATTAATGCATATTACAAAAAAAGTTAAACTATTTGATCTTAGAACAAAAAAATTGAAAACAATTAATTGTAGCAAATAGAAAAAAAGAAACATTTTTTTTTAACATTTAAATTTTTATTTGTACTTTCATATCAGTTTGATTACACATGTATTTTTTTAATAAAAATACTTTGTGAATATTTTGAAATGAAATTTTATATTTTAAATAATTTATGAAAATGATAATATGAAATCAGGAATGCTTTTAGGTTTTTTGTGTTCTGTTCTTTAAAAAAAAAAAACAAAATTAAAAACAAACCAAAATAATAATCAAAATTTGTTTGTTAAAATGATAATCGAAAAAGTTTGGAAAAGAAACTTGGGCATGAAAGTGAGATTTCATACAGAACAGAATTCTGTTTCTTTTAAACAGAAATAAATGTTTGTTTCAAAAGCAAATTCTATATATGTATATGATATTTAGAATAATTAATAAAGGAAACAAAGTAATTAATATTTTAAAAAGCTAAGATTACACTACCGAGAAATCATTATTAAAAACTAGGGTTCTTACAAAATCTATTAATTAAAAAAAAAACGAGAAAAAAAGGAGTAACTCAAAAAAGTATTTTATTGTTTAATATTTAATTAAACAGCGAAATGAAAAACATTTTGAAACCAAGCCATTCGCAAATTAAAAAACAAAAATAAAAATTAGAAAGCCTTACATAAAATTAACACCGAAAAAATATGATCAGATCTTTAATTTAATATAACTTATTTCAGACTGAAGGTAGTTCTCGTGCATTCGTTATTCAATAGATATTTGTACGATAAAATTAAATATATTAAATAATAGATTTGATTGTGCATTTTTCAGGATAAAAATTTTGTATGATTGAACTTTTAACAGCGTCATCTTTATGTAATTGATTGTTAATTAATTTAATTTTTTTTTTTTTTTAACTCTAGATGGTACATATTTTGTATATCTATATGTTCCACATCACATAGTAATAGTGATAATTTGCATTAATTTTTTTTGTTCATTTTAAGTTTCATTCATGTATAAAATAATCATTCAACGTATTTTTATATATTGTTGTAAAGAAGGCTGCCTATAATTAATTTACTATCAATTACATAATGTTTATATTATAGAGTAAGGTTTTCTAGATGTTATAACAATATTTTTGAAATAGAAAAATTTTATGTTAATGGTTGGATGTGATTTTAGCTTTACAGAATGTTTAGAAACTTTAAAAAAAATTTTAAATATTATTTTATTTTTAAATATAATAAAATTATACACATAAATTCTATAATAATATTTATATAAAATTTAATATATAAATATCTACTTATGAAAATTTTTTTTTTGTTTGAAAAACACACTTTTTTTTTTGTGAAATATTTCAGTATTTAATTCGCTGTTTATATAGGAATGTAAAACTTAGGAATCTTTCAAATTGTATAAAATTATTCAAAACTAAATATAATATTAACAATAACAAAAAAGAAAAAAAAAACAGACAAAAAGTAAACACATTTAGGACAAAAGTAATTGTTTTCATATAAATAACAATTTATATTAAAATAAAATAATGAAAATTTAGACATATTTATATTATACTAAATACTTTTTCTCTGCATAGCAAAAACCATTCATATGTAAAATAGATAATATTCTCTTTCATTAACTATTTTCCAAGTAGCAATGTTAATAAATTAACTTATGTAGTATAGTATTATAAATATCATAATAATTGCAAAATGAATCAAAGGAAAATTTTATATTTTATGAAATTGCAAGACAAATTATTGAATTTGTCTAATAATATTATGTACGTAAAAAAAATTGCAATAGTATTTTTTTTTTTTTTTAAATATATTGTTCATTTTTACGGAAGCGAATATAAAAAATTTTACATATGGATATCTATCTTTAAATACCCTATTAATTTACTTTTATAAAAATATATACTAGTTTTCATTATTATTTTACTATTCATATAAAACAAAAAAAAATTATTTAAACAGAAAAAAGAAAATTATCAAATATTTTGTAAATTTACATGCAATTATTTATGTGACACGAAAGAAAATGATTAAAACGTCATTAGAGTTAATTAGAATTTTCTATGCTATTAAGAATTTTTTTCTTAATTAATTATATGTATTTAAATTAAAAAATTAAAAAATTTATTTTCTAACTTAAGTAGTCCTTTACTAATTATTTACAAAATTATTTGATTTTTTTTTTTTTTTTTTTTTTTGAAATTTTTATTAATTTTTAGTTAGGATTTTCAAATTTTTTTAATTTTATAATTTCATGAATAAAGTACGCAAGAATAAAAATATTGATATAAAAATAAGAATGAGATTCATTTGTAGTTACAAATTATGTAAAAATAAATTATCTTAAAAATTACACTTTCCTTGTTTTTATATCTACTGAATCTACTGAATATTATATATCTTATTAAATATTTGCAATATTTAAAACAAAAATAAACATCATGAAAGAAGAATAAAAACAAATACAAAGAATCGTAATAGTAGATAAATATAAGAAAATATTAATAGTGATTTAAGTACTATCACATTTTTTTTTATAATTTTGCCGATAAAGGTTTTAAAATAGTTTCTTCTGAACGGTTTAGATATCAATGTTTTACTACAAAAAAATTTAATGTTAAATGCATTTTTTAATTTATGGTTATTTGAAACAAATTGTATTAAATATTTTACTGATTCATTTTTAATATCTCAATTTTCTTAAAATAAATAATTTTAACAAAATTTATGTTTCAATAAACTCTTAAACATACTTGCATATTTATTACAATTTTTTTTACCGATATCCACATATTTTTTCACACATTAATTAAGTTCTTTACTATTTCCGAGTTATACATAAATTGATATATAAAATATTCATTTTCAAAAAAAATTTCACTTTGCAATAACAATCAATCTTGCTTTGCTTAAAAGAAAAATATGGAAATTTTAAAATAATACAATAAATGCAAACATATTAATTTTAAATGTTTTTAATTAGCAAAAAAAAAATTATAATGGTTATAAATACAAAATTATACTTTTTCTCAGGAATTAAATTTTGATGGAAAATAGCAAATATCTTTCCATATTTATAAGAAACACTCAAATTTAAATAACGTGTAGAAAAGTTTAAATTAAGGAAATTGCCTTTTTATGATTGTTTCACGCAAATATCATTTTTTTTTTGGATATGTATAATTTTTTCATATGCAAGTTAAAATTTTGAAAGTTAAGGTATTACACCGTCATTCGAAGAGATTTAATCAAATAATTGTATTATTTTTTTTTTTCGAAATTTTTTTTATAAAATTAAAGTAAAGTAATAAGTTTGAAGTTAAAAAAATTTTCCATTTTCTTTAAAAAAAATTAGCTTAATTTTTTATAATAATTTATTTTCACTATACTAATATGTTTAACCAAAGTGATTTTATTTAACAGGTTTTAAAAGAACATTGACTTTAAAATGTTTTTTTAAAACTACAAAGAAATGCATTTAAAAATTTTATATACATTAAATTTAAATATTTTATGTATATATTAAATTAAATTTTCCTTTATTACAATACATTTTCTTTATTCAATTTTTATAAATTGATTTTTTTACATAATAAGTCTTTTGTTATTTTTTTTAATATCAAAAAACCTATGCTGCTATTATACTGCTTTTACATGAACAAATATTTCAATACTATTTCCTATTTATTTCTTAATCTCCATTTTTTCTATGCAATAATTAAATCGATCTGGGGAATGATAATATTTCTAAAAAAGAAGCATAATTCAAATGTTAAAGTAAATTTAAAAATTAATCGATAAATAACAAAAAAAAAATTTTTTTAGAAGTAAATCTGTTATAATTTCCAGTGTTCGAGCAAAAACAAATAGAAAATTTTTTTAATTTTTCCAATTCATTTTTATCCCCGGACTTGGTATTACACACGGCCGTTTTATATACAAAAGAAAAATTAGAAACAATAAAATATAATTTAAAATTTTATTCAATAAATAATTATATACTATTATACTATATAACAAATAAATATATAAGTAATGAAATAAATAAAAAAGTAAGAAATTATTAAATTTTTCTTAAAATACAAAAAAATTTACAAAATATATATTCTTGATATATTATTGAAAAAGAAAAAAAATAAAAAATATCTACATATATATTATAATTGTAGGATAGGCTAGGTAGAATAACAAATTATATTTTAATTAATAAATCATCTTTTATTCAATATTATTCAAACATAAAGAAAAAGGATATGAAATTCGTTAAAAGTGCATCAAAACAAAATATCCCATTAATCTCAAATAGAAATTATGATTTAAAACAAGAAACCTATAATAATAACAAATTTTAATAATAATTAAAATAAAATATAAATGTATATTGTAATTATAAAAGTGTTATATTTATATAATATACATAATATTTATATGTAAGTATATGGGATATTATGTAATAACAACATAGTAATATCGAAGTATACCAGAAAAAAAAAATTTATTATTGACAATTGTAAAAAATAATTAAGAATTATAAATTTATTTTTACACAAAAATCAAAATTTACGAAATATTTTCATTTATGTGCTTTGAGCTACCTTTTAATTTTTGTTATTTATTTCAAAAACTTTTGAATCATTGTTTTCTAATTAAAAATAAGAGTAATTGTTCCAAAATTGAATTGTATAAACCGATATAATTTGCAAATTTTTATTATTTTAAAAAATTTTTTATGAATCTTAAATTTAAGGAAATAGTATGAGGTTTTTATAATTACGGCCTTTCTTTTAACTGTAAAAATAAATTTAAAGTTCTTTGTTATTATCCTTACAAGAAATGACTAATTATTTCAAGATATTACAATAAATTAATTGATGTATCCTTAATAAATAACATGTACACAAACATACATATTATATGAAATAAATGCAAAAAAGTAAATAAATAAATAAACAATAAATTTAATTGCTTTAATAAATTCTACATTATATACATAATATATTCAAAAAAAAAAAAAAAATTAAAACAAAGAAATTATAAACAAACTTTTTGTTTTTATAAAAAAATTCAAATTGTTTATTGAAAAACAAATAACAAAACAATATAAAATTCAAAACAAAAATCAATTTAATTAATTTAATTTTTAAATATTTTTTTTTTCTAAATAAATGTGAAGATTTAATTATACAAAAAAAATTAATATTTATTTTTGTTTTATTTTATTTTATTCCAATTTTCTGTTTACTCCTTATTTTCTTTAATCAATATTGGTCTCGGACATTGAATTGATTTTATTTTATACATCCATTTAAGGGAATACATATTACAGTTACAAATAGCCGTGTTCAACTCTAATCGAAGTTTAGAGTTGAAATTTTTTTTAAATTTTATATAAATTGTTTGCCAATCTAATGTACAGGAATTTTTCTATACATATTTCAAATGCTTCTTCTAAATAATTAAAGAGTTGCGACTATAATTCAGTGTTATAAATATGTGTGTCAAGAAGAAAAAATAAATATATGTCCGGAGAAATTACTAATATTATAGCTTCCGTGAATTTAAGCAAAACCTCAACAATTTCTAATAAAAGTAAAATAAAATTTGCATTAAAAGTAAAGTAAATTGGAATAATTGCTACTTCCTATTATTTTTCTATATGAAAAGAAAATTTCATAAATTCTGCCGGAAATCAAAGTAACGCAAGTAATTATTAATATAAATGGAAATACAACAATTTCTTTTACCTAAAATTTGTATTTAATTCAATTATCATAAGAACAGAAACTTTTTCTTAGTTTATGCGTTGGTGTGTTTTTATTCTTTGAATTAAATGCTAAGGAAAAGATTTAATACATTTTTAATATTTTCAAAAATTAAGGGTGTATGAAATAAAACTTATGGTTGTTTTTTGTTTTTTAAGCAAAATTTTTATTCTTTGAAAGTTTATTTTTTTATTTATACAGAAAAAATAATTTTTTCGCTATGTCTTCTATTTAAATTTTTATAAAATTTTTTACAAAGTTACTTTTTCTGTTATAATTTTTATTTTAGTTTTTTTTTCAGTGTATCATAAAAGTTACGCGAATTTATAATAGAATATATTAATATATTATATTTCATAAGATATATTTAAAAAAAAAATAAAAGAAAACCTAATTCAAATAGACTGTAAATTATACTAGATGACTAAATTTTCTAAATGAAATCCGTATTTAATGGACTCGCATGATCCACATTTATTAAAGTAATAAAAAAAATATTATTTTCTAAAAGATAATTCAGAAAAAAAAAGGATTCCCACCAATTAAATCATTTTGTTCTCTAAAAT